GGACACCAACAGTTACCCAAACTATGAAATAATCCAAAACCCGGTTTCTAACCCCAAAAATATCCCTAACTTTAACTCCAAACCCATCCCTGACTCTGACCCCAACGCTCAACGCAGCACTGATTCCAATCCTAACCTTGCTTCTTACCCCAACACTGCTGGCAAACCTGAGCCTGACTTTATACCCAAGACAATCCCCAACACTAACTCCAACCATAATTCTGACGCTTACACCTACATTAACCCTGATTCTAAGCCCAATACTGACTCCAACCCTAATCCTGACTCGATCCGTAACCCCACTAACCCAAATGACAACCCAAGCCCAGACACTGGCGACAAAAGTTACCCCAACACTAACTTCAACCAAATCCCTGATCACTACCCCAACTCTATCACTAACTCCACCCCTAACCACGACAACGCTAATGACAAAGCTAACCCTGACTCTGAACCCAACACAAGCCACAACATTATCTCCAACAAAAGCCCTGGTTCAATCCTCAAGTCTAACCCTAACTCTGACTCTAACCCAAACCCCGACTCTAATTCCTACACTGTCAAGAACCCCAATACCAACCCTAGCCCTGATACCGACTCTAACCTCAAACCCACCAACCCAAATGACAACTCAAGCAGTGATACTAATGACAAAAGTAACCCCAACACTAACTTGAACCAAATCCCTGATTATAACCCCAACTCTATCACTAACTCCACCCCTAACCAAGACAACACTAATGACAAAGCTAACCCTGACTCTGAACCCAACACAAGCCGCAACACTAACTCCAACCAAAGCCCTGGTTCAAACCTCAAGTCTAATCCTACCTCTGACTCTAACCCAAACCCCGACTCTAATTACAACCCTGAAAAGAACTCCAATACCACGCCTAGCCCTGATACGAACTTTAACCTCAACCCCACCAACCCAAATGGCAACTCAAGCCCTGACACCAATGACAAAAGTAACACTAACGTCAACCAAAACCCCGACAAGAACCCTGACTCTAAGCCCAACACGGACTCCTTCCCTAACCCTGAATCTAACCGCAACCCTACCAAACCAAATGACAACCCACGCCCAGACACAGACACCAACAATAACCCAAATTATGAATTTATCCAAAACCCGGATTATAACCCCAAATCTATCGCTAACTTAAACTCCAAACCCATTCCTGACTCTGAACCCAATGCTCAACGCAGCACTGATTCCAACCCTAACCTTGATTCTTACCCCAACCCCACTGGCAAACCTGAGCCTGACTTTAGACCCAAGACAATCCCCAACACTAACTCCAACCATAATTCTGATGCTTACACCTACATTAACCCTGATTCTCAGCCCAAAACAGACTCCAACCCAAATCCTGACTCGATCCGTAAACCCACTAACCCAAATGACAACCCAAGCCCAGACACTGGCGACAAAAGTAACCCCAACACTAACTTCAATCAAATCCTTGATTACAACCCCAACTCTATCACTAACTCCACCCCTAACCAAGACAACCCTAATGACAAAGCTAACCCTGACACTCAACCCAACACAAGCCGCAACATTTTCTCCAACCAAAGCCCTGGTTTAATCCTCAAGTTTAACCCTATCACTGACTCTAACCCAAAGCCCGACCCTAATTCCAACACTGACAAGAACCCCAATATCAACCTTAGCCCTGATACCAAATCTGACCTCAACCCCACCAACCCAAATGACAACTCAATCCCTGACACTAATGACAAAAGTAACCCCAAAACTAACTTCAACCAAAACCCTGATTACTCAAGCCTAGACACTAATGACAAAAGTAAACCCAACACTAACTTCAACCAAAACCCCGACAATAACCCTGACTCTAAGCCCAACACGGACTCCGACCCTAACCCTGAATCTAACCACAACCCCACCAACCCAAATGCCAACCCACGCCCAGACACGGACACCAACGGTAACCCAAACTATGAATTTATCCAAAACCCGGTTTCTAACCCCAAATATATCCCTAACTTTAACTCCAAACCCATCCCTGACTCTTACCCCAATGCTCAACGCAGTACTGATTCCAACCCTAACCTTGATTCTTACCCCAACACTACTGGCAAACCTGAGCCTGACTTTATACCCAAAACAATCCCCAACACTAACTCCAACCATAACTCTGACGCTTACACCTACATTAACCCTGATTCTAAGCCCAATACTGACTCCAACCCTAATCCTGACTCGATCCGTAACCCCACTAACCCAAATGACAACCCAAGCCCGGACACTGGCGACAAAATTAACCCCAACACTAACTTCAACCAAATCCCTTATTACTACCCCAACTCTATCACTAACTCCACCCCTAACCAAGACAACACTAATGACAAAGCTATCCCTGACTCTGAACCAAGCACAAGCCGCAACACTAACTCCAACCAAAGCCCTGGTTCAAAGCTCAAGTCTAACCCTACCTCTGACTATAACCCAAACCCCGACTCTAATTCCAACACTGACAAGAACTCCAAAACCAAGCCTAGCCCTGATACCAACTCTAACCCCAAAAACACCATCCCAAATGACAACTCAAGCCCTGACACCAATGACAAAAGTAACACCAACGTCAACCAAAATCCTGACAATAACCCTGACTCTAAGCCCAACACGGACTCCTACCCTAAGCCTGAATCTAAACGCGAACCCACCAACCCAATTGACAACCCACGCCCAGACACGGACACCAACAGTTACCCAAACTATGAAATCATCCAAAACCCGGTTTCTAACCCCAAATATATCCCTAACTTTAACTCCAAACCCATCCCTGACTCTGACCCCAACGCTCAACGCAGCACTGATTCCAACCCTAACCTTGCATCTTACCCCAACACTGCTGGCAAACCTGAGCCTGACTTTATACCCAAGACAATCCACAACACTAACTCCAACCATAATTCTGACGCTTACACCTACATTAACCCTGATTCTAAGCCCAATACTGACTCCAACCCTAATCCTGACTCGATCCGTAACCCCACTAAAACAAATGACAACCCAAGCCCAGACACTGGCGACAAAAGTTACCCCAACACTAACTTCAACCAAATCCCTGATCACTACCCCAACTCTATCACTAACTCCACCCCTAACCACGACAACGCTAATGACAAAGCTAACCCTGACTCTGAACCCAACACAAGCCACAACATTATCTCCAACAAAAGCCCTGGTTCAATCCTCAAGTCTAACCCTAACTCTGACTCTAACCCAAACCCCGACTCTAATTCCTACACTGTCAAGAACCCCAATACCAACCCTAGCCCTGATACCGACTCTAACCTCAAACCCACCAACCCAAATGACAACTCAAGCAGTTATACTAATGACAAAAGTAACCCCAACACTAACTTGAACCAAATCCCTGATTATAACCCCAACTCTATCACTAACTCCACCCCTAACCAAGACAACACTAATGACAAAGCTAACCCTGACTCTGAACCCAACACAAGCCGCAACACTAACTCCAACCAAAGCCCTGGTTCAAACCTCAAGTCTAACCCTACCTCTGACTCTAACCCAAACCCCGACTCTAATTACAACCCTGAAAAGAACTCCAATACCACGCCTAGCCCTGATACGAACTTTAACCTCAACCCCACCAACCCAAATGGCAACTCAAGCCCTGACACCAATGACAAAAGTAACACTAACGTCAACCAAAACCCCGACAAGAACCCTGACTCTAAGCCCAACACGGACTCCTTCCCTAACCCTGAATCTAACCGCAACCCTACCAAACCAAATGACAACCCACGCCCAGACACAGACACCAACAATAACCCAAATTATGAATTTATCCAAAACCCGGATTATAACCCCAAATCTATCGCTAACTTAAACTCCAAACCCATTCCTGACTCTGAACCCAATGCTCAACGCAGCACTGATTCCAACCCTAACCTTGATTCTTACCCCAACCCCACTGGCAAACCTGAGCCTGACTTTAGACCCAAGACAATCCCGAACACTAACTCCAACCATAACTCTGACGCTTACACCTACATTAACCCTGATTCTCAGCCCAAAACAGACTCCAACCCAAATACTGACTCGATCCGTAAACCCACTAACCCAAATGACAACCCAAGCCCAGACACTGGCGACAAAAGTAACCCCAACACTAACTTCAATCAAATCCTTGATTACAACCCCAACTCTATCACTAACTCCACCCCTAACCAAGACAACCCTAATGACAAAGCTAACCCTGACACTCAACCCAACACAAGCCGCAACATTTTCTCCAACCAAAGCCCTGGTTTAATCCTCAAGTTTAACCCTATCACTGACTCTAACCCAAAGCCCGACCCTAATTCCAACACTGACAAGAACCCCAATATCAACCTTAGCCCTGATACCAAATCTGACCTCAACCCCACCAACCCAAATGACAACTCAATCCCTGACACTAATGACAAAAGTAACCCCAACACTAACTTCAACCAAAACCCTGATTACTCAAGCCTAGACACTAATGACAAAAGTAAACCCAACACTAACTTCAACCAAAACCCCGACAATAACCCTGACTCTAAGCCCAACACGGACTCCGACCCTAACCCTGAATCTAACCACAACCCCACCAACCCAAATGCCAACCCACGCCCAGACACGGACACCAACAGTAACCCAAACTATGAATTTATCCAAAACCCGGTTTCTAACCCCAAATATATCCCTAACTTTAACTCCAAACCCATCCCTGACTCTTACCCCAATGCTCAACGCAGCACTGATTCCAACCCTAACCTTGATTCTTACCCCAACACTACTGGCAAACCTGAGCCTGACTTTATACCCAAAACAATCCCCAACACTAACTCCAACCATAACTCTGACGCTTACACCTACATTAACCCTGATTCTAAGCCCAATACTGACTCCAACCCTAATCCTGACTCGATCCGTAACCCCACTAACCCAAATGACAACCCAAGCCCAGACACTGGCGACAAAAGTTACCCCAACTCTAACTTCAACCAAATCCCTGATTACTACCCCAACTCTATCACTAACTCCACCCCTAACCACGACAACGCTAATGACAAAGCTAACCCTGACTCTGAACCCAACACAAGCCACAACATTATCTCCAACAAAAGCCCTGGTTCAATCCTCAAGTCTAACCCTAACTCTGACTCTAACCCAAACCCCGACTCTTATTCCTACACTGTCAAGAACCCCAATACCAACCCTAGCCCTGATACCGACTCTAACCTCAAACCCACCAACCCAAATGACAACTCAAGCCCTGAAACTAATGACAAAAGTAACCCCAACACTAACTTCAACCAAAACCCTGATTTCTCAAGCCTTGGCATTAATGACAAAAGTAAACCCAACACTAACTTCAACCAAAACCCCGACAATAACCCTGACTCTAAGCCCAACACGGACTCTTACCCTAACCTTGAATCTAACCGCAACCCCACCAACCCAAATGCCAACCCACGCCCAGACACGGACACCAACAGTAACCCAAACTATGAATTTATCCAAAACCTGGTTTCTAACCCCAAATCTATCCCTAACTTTAACTGCAAACCCATCCCTGACTTTTACCCCAATGCTCAACGCAGTACCGATTCCAACCCTAATCTTGATTCTTACCCCAACCTCACTGGCAAACCTGAGCCTGACATTACACCCGAGACAATCCCCAACACTTACTCCAACTATAATTCTGACTCTTACCCCTACATTAACCCTGATTCTCAGCCCAACACAGACTCCAATCCTAAACCTGACTCTATCCGTAACCCCACCAACACAAATAAAAACCCAAGCCCAGACACTGGCGGCAAAAGTAACGCCAACACTAATTTCTACCAAATCCTTGATTACAACCCCAAATCTATCACTGACTCCACCCCTAACCAAGACAACCCTAATGACAAAGCTAACCCTCACTCTGAACCCAACACAAGCCGCAACATTGTCTCCAACCAAAGCCCTGGTTTAAACCTCAAGTTTAACCCTAACTCTGACTCTAACCCAAAACCTGACACTAATTCCCACACTGACAAGAACCCCAATACCAACCTTAGCCCTGATACCAACTCAAACCCCAAAAACACCATCCCAAATGACAACTCAAGCCCTGACACCAATGACAAAAGTAACACCAACGTCAACCAAAACCCTGACAATAACCCTGACTCTAAGCCCAACACGGACTCCTACCCTAACCCTGAATCTAACCGCAACCCCACCAACTCAATTGACAACCCACGCCCAGACACGGACCCCAACAGGAACCCAAACTATGAAATCATCCAAAACCCGGTTTCTAACCGAAAATCTATCCCTAATTTTAACTCCAAACCCATCCCTGACTCTGGCCCCAATGCTCAAGGCAGCACTGATTCCAACCCTATCCTTCATTCTTTTCCCAACTCCATTGGCAAACCTGAGCCTGACTTTATACCCGAAAGATTCCCCAACACTAACTCCAACGATAACTCTGACGCTTACCCCTACATTAACCCTGATAAGCCCAACACAGACTCCAACAGTATACCTGACTCGATTCGTAACCCCACTAACCCAATTAACAACCCAAGCCCAGACACTGGCGACAAAAGTAACCCCAACACTAACTTCAACCAAATCCCTGATTACTACCCCAACTCTCTCACTAACTCCACCCCTAACCAAGACAACACTAATGACAAAGCTAACCCTGACTCTGAACCCAACACAAGCCGCAACACTAACTCCAACCAAAGCCCTGGTTCAAACGTCAAGTTTAACCCTAACTCTGACTCTAACCCAAACCCCAACTCTAATTCCAACATTGACAATAACCCCAATACCATTCCTGACCCTGACACCAACTCTAACCTCAAACCCTCCAACACAAATGACAACTCAAGCCCTGACACTAATGACAAAAGTGACCCCAACACTAACTCCAACCAAAACCCCGACAATGACCCTGAGTCTAAGCCCAACAAGGGCTCCTACCCTAAACCTGTATCTAACCGCAACCCCACCAACCCATTTGACAACCCACGCCCAGACACGGACACCAACAGTAACCCAAACTATGAAATCATCCAAAACCCGGTTTCTAACCCAAAATCTATCCCTAACTTTAACTCCAAACCCATCCCTGACTCTGACCCCAATGCTCAACGCAGCACTGATTCCAACCCTATCCTTTATTCTTTCCCCAACCCCATTGGCAAACCTGAGCCTGACTTTATACCCGAGGCAATCCCCAACACTAACTCCAACCATAACTCTGACGCTTACCCCTACATTAACCCTGATTCTAAGCCCAACACAGACTCCAACCCTAAACCTGACTCGATCGGTAACCCCACTAACCCAAATAACAACCCAAGCCCAGACACTGGTGACAAAAGTAACCCCAACACTAACTTCAACCAAATCCTTGATTACAACCCCAACTCTATCACTAACTCCACCCCTAACCAAAGCAACCCTAATGACAAAGCTAACTTTGACTCTAACCCAAACCCCGACTATAATTCCAACACTGACAATAACCCCAATACCAACCCTAGCCCTGATACCAACTCTAACCTCAAACCCACCGACCCAAATGACAACTCACGCCCTGACCCTAACGACAGAAGTAACCCCATCAATATCTCCAACACTTACCGTGACCCTTACCCTAACCTCCAAAATAATCCTAATGACAAACCTGACTCTGAACCCAAGACAAACCCCAATACTAAATCAAACCAAAACCGTGATTCATATGCAAATGCTCTCACAAACACTGCATCCAATGGTAACCCTTATTCTAACCACAACCCTGACGAGAACCCCAATTTCATCAACTCAGAATCTAGCCCGAGCAATAACTCCAACCATAATCCTGACACTAGTCCTAATAGTATCCCCAATACTAACTTCAACCATGACCCTGATTATAACACTAACTCTAAACCTCATTCTAACTCCAAGAATAACCCTGACTTTAACCAAAACCCCAAAACTAACTCCAATGACAACACGAACCCTGGCTTTTTTCACGACACTAACCCCAACACTTACTCCAACCCTAATCCGGACTCTTATCCCAATCCTCAAAAAAACCATAATTACAAACCTAACCTTGACTCTGAACCCATCGGGAACCCTAACTCTGATTCCAACCTCAATCCTGACTCTAACTCCAACGCGGACAAAAATTCCAAATCCAACCCTAGCTTTGACATGAACTCTGATTCTAAACCCAGCACTCGCTCCAACCAAAACCTTTACGCTATCACTAACTCCACCCCTAACCAAGACAACCCTAATGACCAAGCTAACCCTGACTCTGAACCCAAAACAAGCCGCAACATTAACTCCAACCAAAGCCCTGGTTCAAACCTCAAATCCAACTCCAACTCTGACTCTAACCCAAACCCCGACTCTAATTCCAACACTGACAAGAACTTCAATACCAAACCTAGCCCTGATATCAACTCTAACCTCAACCCCACCAACCCAAATGACAAGTCAGGCCCTGGCACTAATGACAAAAGTAACCCTAACACTGACTTCAACCAAAACCCCGACGATAACCGTGACTCTAAGCCCAACACCGACTCCTATCCTAAGCCTGAATCTAACCGCGACCCCACCAACCCAATCGACAACCCACGCTCAGACACGGACACCCTCAGTAACCCAAACTATGATATCATCCAAAACCCGGTTTCTAACCCCAAATCTCTCCCTAACTTTAACTCCAAACCCATCCCTGACTCTGATCCCAATGCTCAACGCAGCACTGATTCCAACCCTAACCTTGATTATTACCCCAACCCCACTGGCAAACCTGAGCCTGACTTTATACCCAAGACAATCCCGAACACTAACTCCAACCATAACTCTGACGCTTACACCTACATTAACCCTGATTCTAAGCCCAATATAGACTCCAACCCTAATCCTGACTCGATCCGTAACCCCACTAACCCAAATGACAACCCAAGCCCAGACACTGGCGACAAAATTAACCCCAACACTAACTTCAACCAAATCCCTGATTACTACCCCAACTCTATCACTAACTCCACCCCTAACCAAGGCAACACTAATGACAAAGCTAACCCTGACTCTGAACCCAACACAAGCAGCAACACTAACTACAACCAAAGCCCTGGTTCAAACCTCAAGTCTAACCCTATCTCTGACTCTAACCCAAACCCCGACTCTAATTCCAACACTGACAAGAACTCCAATACCAAACCTAGCCCTGATATCAACTCTAACCTCAACCCCACCAACCCAAATGACAAGTCAGGCCCTGGCACTAATGACAAAAGTAACCCCAAAACTAGCTTCAACCAAAACCCCAACATTAACCGTAACTCTAAGCCCAACACGGACTCTTACCCTAACCCTGACTCCATCCACAACCCCACCAACCCAAATGACTACCCAAGCCCAGACACTGATGCTAAAAGTAACCCCAACTGTGAATTCATCCACAACCCAGATTCTAAGCAGAATTCTATCCCTCCCTTTAAGTCCAACCAAAACCCTGACTCTTATCCAAAAAATAACCCTGACTATAAGCCCAACACTGACTCCAACCCTAACCCTGACTCTATCCGTAACCCCTCCAACCTCAAATCCAACCCTAGCGCTGACACCAACTCCGCCTCTCACTCCAATACTAACTATAAACATATTCCTGCCTCTAGCACAAATAATAACCTCAATACTAACTCCAACCATGACCGTGACACTTACCCAAGCCCGCATGGCAAACCTGAGCCTGAATTTAAACACAACACAAACCTCGATACTAACTTCAACCAAAACCCTAATTTTAACCCCAACTCTAACCCTAACATTAACTCCAAAGATAACCCTGACTCAAATGACAATGCAATCCGAAACACTGACTCAAACCCTAAAGCCGACTTTAACCAGAACCCTGACCAGAACCCCAAATCCAACCCTCGTCCTGAAACCCACTCTGACTCAAACCCCAGCACTAACTCCCACCTTAACCCTGACTCTAGCCCTCATGATTACCCCAATACTATCTCCAACCATGGCCCTGATTATTACACTTACAGTAAACCTAATTCTCACTCTAACAATAACCCTGACTCAAACCAAAAGCCCAACAAGAACTCCAATGACAACCCTAACCCAGAATATTTTGCCGACTCTAACCCCAACACTAACTCCGACCCTAAACAGGACTCTTACCCCAACACTAACCCTAACTCCAACAATAACCCTGACGCAAACCCCAATGTTACCCCAGGCACTGACGCCAAACACAACACTAACTCTTACCCCAACGCCCAAGACAACTCCTATGGCAGAGCTAAACTTGACTCTGAACCCAACACCAACCCCAACACTAACTCATACAAAAGTCCTGATTATAGCCCAGACGTAAATTATAACTCTCAATCCAACCATAACCCTGACTCTAATGCTAACGCTCAAACCAACATTGACTCGAACCTTAACCGTGACTCTTACCCCAATCCCACTGGCAAACCTGAACCTGACTTTAAACCCAACACGAATCCCAACACTAACTCCAACCAAAACCCTGATTCTAACCCCAACTCTAACTTAAACTTTAACTCCAAAAAGAAACCTGACTCAAACCCCAATACTGACTATTATCCTGATTATAACCACAACCCCAACAACAACGCAAATGACAACCCTAGATCTGAAACTAACGACAAAAGTCACCCCAGAAAATACTACAACCCTAACCGTGACTCTTACCCCAGCCCCAAAAACAATCCTAATGGCAAACCTAACTCTGAGTATGAACCCAACACGACCCTCAATAGTTATTCAAACCAAAACCCTGATTATAACCCTGACAATAACCCTATTTCGAACTCCAACCGCAATGAAAAATCTGAGCCTGAATTTAAACCCAATACCAACCTCAACACTAAGTCCAAGCAAAACCCTGACTCATACGCAAATATGAACCCTGACTCTATCTCCAAAAATAACCCCGAATCTAAGCCCAACACCGACTACAAACCTAATCCTAGCTCTAACCCTAACCCCATCAACCACAATGACAACCCTAGCCTTGACACTAATGCCAGAAGTAACCCCAACACTAACTTCAACGAAATCCCTGATTCTAACCCCAACTCTATCACTAACTCCAACCGTAACCAAGACATCCCTAATGACAAACCTAACCCTGACTCTAAACCCAACTCAAACTCCAACACTAACTCCGACCAAAACTCTGACTCTTACTCCAACATTAACGATGACTCTAACTTAAAAAACAACCTTGACTCTAACACCAACCCTGACTCCAACCCTAACCCTGACTTTAACCGCAACCCCAACAAGAACCCCAGTGCTAACCCTAATTCTGATTCAAACTCCAACGTTCACTCCAATACTGACTCCAGCCCTATACGTGTCTTTTTCCCCAACCCCAATAACCCCAATGGAAATCCTAGCCCTGACTCTAATTCCAAAACAAACCCTAACACCAACCAAAACCCTGATTATAATCCCAACTCCAAGTCTGACTCTTACCACAACACTTTCACTTCACAGGATAAGAAAGCTGGGGAATTTGGTATCACAATTGTCCCAATGCAGGAGGCTTTAAGAAATGAACAATTACTTGACAATAAGGAGACACATTTCTATGAAATAAATACGAAGTCTGATGAAATAAATACAAAAGAAGAAAGTCTGATTTATAAAAATTATACACAAACCAACACTTTGAATAGAGCGTTTAAGGAGCAGACAGACACATTATCACGTAACATTTCTAAAACAATAGGCATATTTCAGGTTCCAACAATTGTTTCCACTCTGGATTCTGATCAATCTTGGGATTTATTTGAAAAGACAAGTCCTAAGCTGCAGATCTTTGTGAAAGATGTGAATTCACAAAATCATGCTCATCCAGAAACCACAAATTTGCCAGATGCAATACATTGGCTGGAAACTGCAGATCGGGCAGAAACACCAACTACAGCACCCACAGGCAATGTGACAGAGTGTAAGGTTTGGTACAAGTCGAGGTGTATTGAACGTAAACATGTTTCTTCTGAAATTAAAACAATTGGGAAAGAACTTCCTATGAATAGGAGTGAATTGTTTGATGGAATACCAAACAAAGCAAGATATTTTGAAAATCCTATATCACCAGCCATGGGTTGGATAAAACCAGAAACTGGTACAGATTCTAGATGGCTAACAGATTTTACAGCGGGGGAAAAGTCACCCAAAGAGACAGGAAAAATATTGGAAAAGACACGTGGCACAGAACAATCAAATGAGCGTGGAGAAAAAAGTCAGGGAAAGCATTTAGAGGTAAATGAGCTTTACCAAGTTGCCACATCAAACAAAGACATTAATCTTCCTTTGTTCAGCAACAATGTCAGTGGACATCTGAAAGCTCGGAAAGAACCAGAAATTGTGAAGAAAACTAGTGTATTAAATCTATCAAGTGAATACAAATACACACAACAGGAGGAGGATGAGGAGGATGCAGAAGAAGGAAGCCCACAGAAGATTTCTGTACAAAGCAGACAAAATGAGGAAATTGGAAATAATGGAAAAAATGGAATTAATCCTTTAAAAGATGGGTGGAAAGATGTTGTCAAGGCCACTGTTGATATTTTAGTTCAGGCCAAATCCAAATTTCTTTCAGCTGCACAGAAAAAAAACACTGCTGTCACGTCAAAGTCAACATGTGATGATTCACCGACGAAAAATGATGAAAAGGTGCTTACGATTCATGAGCCAACATTAACAAACTATGACAAAAACACGACCTCTAAACCACCACCATTGAAGGAACAGCCACTATCAAGTCCAAGCCAAGGTGACCAAAAACCAAATTTGCAACTGGAGTCGACAACGGAGCATGTTTCAGAAAAAGTGGCAAAGCAAGTTGAGTCACCAACAAAAGTGCCGAAGGTTTTAGAAGGAATACGTGGTGGTGATTTAAGTCAGGCTTGGAGGGAAACAGTCGCCTTAACAGGAATAGAACACGAAGTCAAGGAGACTGGAAGTGCGATATTAAAGCCAACAACAGCAGAGGCACATGGAATTGACATCAGAGCAACTCCAACAATAGCACTAAAACATGGCAGTGATGTCAGGTTTGTGCCGACAAGAGCAGCCCAAGAGGAATTCGACATCAAGGCAACTCCAACAACAGCACCAAAACGTGGAAGTCATATCAGGTTTGTGCCAACAAGAGCAGGTAAACAGGAAATCGATATTAGGGCAACTTCAACAGCAGAACCAAAACTTGAAAGTGATGTCAGGTTTGTGCCGACAAGGGTATCCGAACAGGAAATCGAAATCACGACAACTCCAACACCAGTAGTAAAACATGAAAATTATGTCAGGTTTTTGCCAACAAGAGCAGCCAAACAGGACATCGACATCGAGGCACCTCCAACAACAGAACCAAAACATATAAATGCTGTCATGTTTGTGCCAACAAGGGTAGCCAAAGAGGAATTTGACATCAGGGCAGTCCCAACAATAGCACCAAAACATGGAAGTGACGTCAGGTCTGTGCCAACAAAAGAAGGTAAACAAGAAATCGAAATCATGACAACTCCAACAACAGCACCAAAACGTGGAAGTTTCGTCAGGTTTGCGCCAACAATGGAAGCTAAACAGGTAATCAACATCAGGGCAACTCCAACAACGGCACCAAAACGTGGAACTGATGTCAGGTTTGTGCCAACCAGACCAGGCAAACATGAAATGGACATGGGGGCAACTCCAACAACAGCACCAAAACGTGGAAGTGATGTCAGGTTTGTGTCGACAAGGTTATCCGAACAGCAAATCGAAATCACGACAACTCCAACACCAGCAGAAAAACATGAAAATGATGACAGGTTTGGGCCAACAAGAGTAGCCAAACAGGAAATCGACAGCAGCGCAACCCCAAAAACAGCACCAAAACATGGAAGTGACATCAGATTTGCACCAACAATGGAAGCTAAACAGGTAATCGACATCAGGGCAACTCCAACAACAGCACAAAAACGTGGAACTGATGTCAGGTTTGTGCCGACAAGGGAATCCAAACAGGAAATCGAAATCACCGCAACTCCAACACCAGCAGTAAAACATGAAAGTGACGTCAGGTTTGTGCCGACAAAAGCAGCCAAAGAGGAAATCGACAGCAGTGCAACACCAACAACAGCACCAAAAAAACATGGAAGTAACATCAGTTTAATGCCAACAAGAGCAGGCAAACGGGAGATCGACATCAGGGCAACTCCAACAACAGTACCAAAACATAGAAGTGACATCAGGTCTGTGCCAACAAAAGAAGGTAAACATGAAATCGACATCAGGGCAACTCCAACAACAGCACCAAAACGTGGAAGTGATGTCAGGTTTGGGCCAACAAGAGCTGCCAAACAGGAATTTAACATAACGGCAACTCCAACATTAGCACTAAAACATGAAAATGATGTCGAGTTTGGGCCAACAAGCGCAGCCAAACATGAAATTGACGTCAATGCAACTCCAACCAAAGAACCAAAAAAACATGGAAGTGACATCATGTTTGTGCCAACAAAAGAAGATAAACAGGAAATCGACATCAAAGCAACAACAGCAACAAAACATGTAGGTGACGTCAGGTTTGTGCCAACAAGAGCAGGCAAACATGGAATCGACATCATGGCAACTTCAACAAGAGCACCAAAACATGGAAGTGATGCCAGGTTTGTGCCGACAAGAGCAGCCCAAAAGGAATTCGATATCAGGGCAACTCCAACAACACCACCAAAACGTGTAAGTGACATCATGTTTGTGCCAACAAAAGACGCTAAACAGGAAATCGACATCAAGCCAATTCCAACAACAGCAACAAAACATGTAAGTGACGTCAGGTTTGTGCCAACAAGAGCAGGCAAACATGGAATCGACATCATGGCAACTTCAACAAGAGCACCAAAACATGGAAGTGATGCCAGGTTTGTGCCAACAAGAGCAGCCCAAAAGGAATTCGATATCAGGGCAACTCAAACAACAGCACCAAAACCTGGAAGTGACATCAGGTTTGCGCCAACAAGAGAAGCTATACAAGTAATCGACATCAGCACAATTCCAACAACAGCACGAAAACATGGAACTGACGTCAGCCTTGTGCCAACGAGAGCAGGAAAACAGGAAATCGACATCAGGGAAACTTCAACAAGCACACCAAAACAAGGAAGTGATGTCAGGTTTGTGCCGACAAGAGCAGCCCAAGAAGAATTCGACATTAGGGCAACTCCAACAACAGCACCAAAACGTGGAAGTGACGTCATGTTTGTGCCAACAAAAGCAAGCAAACAGGAAATCGACATCAGGGAAACTTCAACAAGAGCACCAAAACATGGAAGTGATGTCAGGTTTGTGCCAACAAGAGCGGCCCAAGAGGAATTCGACATCAGGGCAACTCCAGCAACACTGCCAAAACGTGGAAGTGACGTCAGGTTTATTCCAACAAAAGAAGCTGAACAGGAAATCTACAAAAAGGCAACTCCAACAACATCACCAAAACATGAAAGTGATGTCAGATTCATGCCAACAAAAGAAGCTAAACAGGAAATCGACATCAAAGCAACTCCAACAACAGCACCAAAACATGGAAGTGACATCAAGGCAACTCCAGCAACAGCACCAGCACGTGGAAGTGATGTCTGGTTCGTGCCAACAAGAGTAGCTAAACAGGCATTCGACATCACGGCAACTCCAACAACAGCACCGATATCTGACGATAACATCAGCTTAGTTGTTGTATCAGTATTGACGACATCCAGGGAAGAAACAATAAAAAAAGAACAAAATATTTCTGCACCAACTACACAAGCAGAAGTCACAAGCACACGAGATGTGAATTCATCTGGGAAAATAGATAAGACCGAAGAAAGAGGACAACACAAATATAATGACATGAACTACAACAAATATTCCAGATTGCCTTTTGTGTATGAAAAAATATCAGTCGCTAATGTCCCTGGTGTTCACAGTGCAACAAATGCACGTGATTTGGTTGATTTTAGTCACAATGAGAGTAAAGATGACGTCACACATGATGCCAAAACAAAGAGTCAAGAAGAACCAGGAAGTGCACGTGAGAAAGAACAAGGAGGCTCAAAAGAGAAAATTGGCAGAGGATCGCAGGAAGAAAAGGAGGACGAAAAAATAAAGCTCAAACACGACAAACATAAGATAAAAGAGGAATCGCTGACTGAAGAGTCACGTGAGATTAACAATGTAAAAGACAAAAAGATCAAGGGAAGTGGAAAACTCGGAGACAGCAACATAAACCTTAGTGAAATACATTTTGAGGGCAGACAAAACAATGAAGCCAAACAAAGTGGCATGAGCTCTAAAGAGCAAGAAACGAGGCCCACAAATGTGCAGGATGGCAATGTAAAAGAAAGGGATAATGGTATAGAAGACACAACATTCACAGTTGGGAGAGGAGGCAAATCAGAAGGAGATGAGCAGAGTAGTCAGGATAAGAAAGGAAGTCAAGCAAACAGGCATGCTAATAAAACGAGTAAAGAGATGGAACATGAAGAAGCAAAAAAGGGAAAGAAGAAACAAATAATGAAAGGAGCTGGTGATATTCATGACACTGAAGATAAAAATAACAAACTTAATGAATTCGTAAAGAAACCAGAAAAAAAAGTGAATATACATGACAGCCGGGGTCAGATTGGTAAGAAACAGGAGAGTAAAGAAATAGGTCCTAAACAAAGTGAAGGGAAGACAGAAAAAGACCGCAGAAAGAAAGAGAAAACAAAATATATAAAGGGCAAGAAATCTGAGCAAGGGAGCGGAGATCGCCACGATGCTGATGTTGAGTCCAGTAGGGAAGGGAACAACATTGAAAAGTTAACTGACATCAGAGTTAACTTAGAAACTGAGCATAATAATTTAATCAAAGGTAAACAAGAACATCATATAAAATATAGAGATGATGGAATGGTTAAAGATATGGGCAGCAATACAACAAATAATAAAAATAAGATTAATGGGAAGAATGTAAATGAAGGAATTAGAGATGTTAAGGAGAGTGCAAAAGAAGACCACCCAAATCGAGGAGTTATTCTGGAATCTTTAGGTTACAGTTCTCAAGAAGACAACAAAGAGATAAATGGGCATGAAAAGGTGGGTAATAAGGAAGCAGGAAGAAAAAAAACGGAGATTAGTAAAAAGCAGAGAGGCAACACAGAGGGAAGAGGGAGTCAACATGGTCGAGGAAGTGAAGTGAAAACCAAAAGTGAAGAAAGTACGCGTGGCGGTGATGAAGAAGAAGGCAGTGAGCAGGAGAGACGTGATGAATTTGAAACTGTGGATAATGATTGGGTTGCACGTGAAAAAGAAAGTCATAAAATATATAGGGAAGATGGGACAAGCAAGAGGAGGAGGAAGAAGAAGACGAAACATGGCAAGGAAGTAAATGAATGGATTGGAGATGGTGATGAGAGTGAAGAAGATGCCTATGCAGATCATGATGACACAAAACTGATAATTAATTTGAAATCTCATAGTTCCGAGGAAGACAGCAAAGAGAGACATTGGCAAAACAAGGTGGGAAGCAATGAATCAAGAAGAAAAGTATCTAATGAAAGTAAAAAGCAGAGAGTGAAGACAGAAGGAAGGGGGGGTGAACATCATATTGGAAATGCAGGTTCTGTAAAGAGTGAAAACATTTTACGTGATTGGGATGAAAATGAAGAAGGCAGGGAGCAAGAAAGGGTTCATTTTGAAACTCTGGATGAAGTTGTCACCACGGAGAAAAAGCAAAAGTACACCAAGGATGGCAAATCAAACAAGGGCACTAAAGTTGTTGCTGGAGAGAAAGACAAAGAGCAAGACAACACCAAGGGAGACAAATCAAAGAATGGCACAAAAGTTGCCACTGGAAATGAAGAGAAAGAGCAAGACCACCCCAAGGCAGATAAATCAAACAAAGATACCAAAGTTGCCACCAGAGAGAAAGACAAAGAGCATGTGAAAACCAAAGAAGACACATCAAACAAGGGCACTAAAGTTGCCATTGGAGAGAAAGATCAAGACGACACCAAGGAAGACAAATCGAGAAAGGGCACTAAAGGTGCCATTGGAGAGAAAGACAAAGAGCAAGTGAAGACCAAGGAAGACAAATCAAAGAAGGGCACTGAAGTTGCCACTGGAGAGAAAGATAAAGAGCAAGTGAAAACCAAGGAGGACAAATCAAACAAAGGCACGAAAGTGGCCACCGCAGAGAAAGACAAAGAGCAAGGAAACACCAATGAGTATAAATCAAACAAGGACACTAAAGTTGTCACTGGAGAGAAAGACAAAAAGCAAGATGACACCAAGGAAGACAAATCAAACGAGGGCACTAAAGTTGCCAGCGGACATAAAGAAAAAGAGCAAGAGAACACCAAAGAGGACAAATCAAACAAAGGCACTAAAGTTGTAACCGGAGAAAGAGACAAAGAGCAAGATGACATCAAGGAAGACAAATCAAACAAGCACACTAAACTTGTCACTGGAGAGAAAGAAAAAGATCAAGACGACACCAAGGAAGACAAATCAAAGGAAGGCACTAAAGTTGTCACTGGAGACAAAGACAAAGAGCAAGTGAATACCAAGGAGGGGAAATCAAACAAGGACACTAAACTTGTCACTGGAGAGAATGAAAAAGATCAAGATGACACCAAGGAAGACAAATCAAAGGACACTGAAATTGTCACGAGAGGGAAAGACAAAGAGCAAGACCACACCAAGGAAGACAAATCAAGCAAAGGCACTAAAGTGGCCACCTTCGAGAAAGACAAAGAGGAAGCAAACACCGAGGAGGGTAAATCCAACAAGGACACTAAAGTTGTCACTCCAGAGAAAGACAAAAAGAATGAGAAGACCAAGGAGGAAAAATCAAACAAGGACACTAAAGTTGTTACTGAAGAAAAAGACAAAGAGCAAGATGACACCAAGGAAGACAAATCAAAGAAGGGCCCTAAAGTTGAAACCGAAGCGAAATTTAAAGAGCAAGACAACACCAAGGAAGATAATTACAACAAGGACACTAAACTTGTCACTGGAGAGAAAGAAAAAGATCAAGACGACATTAAGGAAGACAAATCAAACAAAGGCAGTGAAGTTGTCAAAGGAGAAAAAGACAAAGAGCAAGTGAAAACGAAGGAGGGGAAATCCAACAAGGACACTGAAGTTGCTACTCCAGAGAAAGAAAAAAAGAATGAGAAGACCAAGGAGGACAAATCAAACAAGGACATTAAAGTTTCCAATGAAGAGAAAGACAAAAAGCAAGATGACACCAAGGAAGACAAATCAAACAATGGTAGTAAATTTGTCACTGGGGAGAAACAAAAAGATCAAGACGACACCAAGGAAGACAAATCAAACAAAGGCACTAAAGTTGTCACCGGAGAAAGAGACAAAGAGCAAGTGAAAACCAAGGAGGACAAATCAGAGAAGGGCACCGAAGTTGCCACCAGCGAGAAAGACAAAGAGCAAGGGAAGACCAAAGACGACAAAACAAATAAGGGCGCTAAAGTTGCCACGGGAGGGAAAGACAAAGATCAAGACGATACAACTGAAGACAAATTAAAGAAGAACACTAAAGTTGCCACCGGAGAAAAAGACAAAAAGCAAGATGACACCGAGAAAGACAAATCAAACAGCGACAATAAAGTTGCCACTGAAGCGGAATTTGAAGAGCAAGACAACACCAAGGAAGACAAATCAAATAAAGGCAGTAAAATTGTCACTGAACAAAGAGACAAAGAGCAAGTGAAAACGAAAGAGGACAAATCCAAAAAGGACACGAAAGTTTCCACTGACACCAAGGAAGACAAATCAAACAATGGTAGTAAACTTGTCACTGGAGAGAAACAAAACGATCAAGACGATTCCAAGGAAGAAAAAGCAAAGGAGGGCACTAAAGTTGCCACCAGTGAGAAAGACAAAGAGCAAGAGAACACCAATGAGGACAAATCAAACAAAGGCACTAAAGTTGTCACTGGAGAAAGAGGCAAAGAGCAAGTGAAAACCAAGGACGACAAATCAAACAAGGGCACTGAAGTTGCCACCAGCGAGACAGACAAAGAGCAAGGGAAGACCAAAGAGGACAAAACAAAGAAGGGCACTAAAGTTTCCACCGGAGAAAAAGACAAAAAGCAAGATGACACTGAGAAAGACAAATCAAACAGGGACACTAAAGTTGCCACCAAAGCGAAATTTGAAGAGCAAGCTAACACCAAGGACGATAATTCTAACAAGGACACTATACTTATCACTGTAGAGAAAGTAAAAGATCAAGACGACACCCAGGAAGACAAATCAAACAAAGGCAGTAAAGTTGTCACTGGAGAAAGAGAGAAAGAGCAAGTGAAAACCAAGGAGGATAAATCAAACAAGGGCACTGAAGTTGCCACCAGCGAGAAAGACAAAGAGCAAGGGAAGACCAAAGAGGACAAAACAAATAAGGGCACTGAAGTTGCCACGGGAGGGAAAGACAAAGAGCAAGATGACACAACTGAAGACAAATCAAAGAAGGGCACTAAAATTGCCCCAGGTGAGAAAGACAAAAAGCAAGATGACACCGAGAAAGACAAATCAAACAAGGACACTAAAGTTGCCACCGAAGCAAAATTTGAAGAGCAAGCCAACATCAAGGAAGATAATTCTAACAAGGACACTAAACTTGTCACTGGAGATATAGAAAAAGGTCAAGAGGACACCAAGGAAGAAAAATCGAACATAGGCACTAAAGTTGTCACTGGAGAAAGAGAGAAAGAGCAAGTGAAAACCAAGGAGGACAAATCAAAGAAGGGCACTGAAGTTGCCACCGGCGAGAAAGACAAAGAGCAAGGGAAGACAAAAGAGGACAAAACAAACAAGGACCCTAAAGTTGCCATCGACGCGAAATTTAAAGAGCAAGACAACACCAAGGAAGAGAATTCAAACAAGGACACTAAACTAGTCACTGAAGAGAAAGAAAAAGGTCAAGACGACACCAAGGAGGACAAATCAAACAAGGGCACTGAAGTTGCAACGGGAGGGAAAGACAAAGAGCAATATGACACAACTGAAGACAAATCAAAGAAGGGCACTAAAATTGCCCCAGGAGAGAAAGACAAAAAGCAAGATGACACCGAGAAAGACAAATCAAACAAGGACACTAAAGTTGCCACCGAAGCAAAATTTGAAGAGCAAGCCAACATCAAGGAAGAGAATTCTAACAAGGACACTAAACTTGTCACTGGAGATATAGAAAAAGATCAAGAGGACACCAAGGAAGACAAATCAAACATAGGCACTAAAGTTGTCACTGAAGAGAGAGAGAAAGAGCAAGTGAAAACCAAGGAGGACAAATCAAAGAAGGGCACTGAAGTTGCCACCGGCGAGAAAGACAAAGAGCAAGGGAAGACCAAAGAGGACAAAACAAATAAGGGCGCTAAAGTTGCCACGGGGGGGAAAGACAAAGAGCAAGACGATACAACTGAAGACAAATTAAAGAAGGGCACTAAAGTTGCCACCGGAGAAAAAGACAAAAAGCAAGATGACACCGAGAAAGACAAATCAAACAGGGACAATAAAGTTGCCACCGAAGCGAAATTTGAAGAGCAAGCCAACACCAAGGACGAGAATTCTAACAAGGACACTATACTTGTCACTGTAGAGAAAGAAAAAGATCAAGACGACACCAAGGAAGACAAATCAAACAAAGGCACTAAAGTTGTCACTGGAGAAAGAGACAAAGAGCAAGTGAAAACCAAGGAGGACAAATCAAAGAAGGGCACTGAAGTTGCCACCGGTGAGAAAGACAAAGATCAAGGGAAGACCAAAGAGGATAAAACAAATAAGGGCACTGAAATTGCCACGGGAGGGAAAGACAAAGAGCAAGACGACACAACTGAAAACAAATCAAAGACTGGCACTAAAGGTGTCACTGCAGAAAAAGAGAATGAGCAAGATGACACCAAGGAAGACAAATCAAAGAAGGGCACTAAAGTTGTCACTGGAGAGAAAGACAAAGAGCAAGTAAAGACCAAGGAGGACAAAACAAATAAGGGCACTAAAGTGGACAATGCAGATAAAGACAAAGAGCAAGATGACACCAAGGAAGATTATTCAAACAAGAACACTAAACTTTTCACTGGAGACAAAGAAAAAGATCAAGACGACACCAAGGAAGATAGATCAAACAAAGGCACTAAAGTAGTCACTGGAGAAAGAGAGAAAGAGCAAGTGAAAACCAAGGAGAACAAATCAAACAAGGGCACCGAAGTTGCCACCAGCGATAAAGACAAAGAGCAAGGGAAGACCAAAGAGGACAAAACAAATAAGGGCGCTAAAGTTGCCACGGGAGGGAAACACAAAGAGCAAGACGACACAACTGAAGACAAATTAAAGAAGGGAACTAAAGTGGCCACCGGAGAAAAAGAGAAAGAGCAAGATGACACCGAGAAAGACAAATCAAACAGGGACACTGAAGTTGCCACCGAAGCGAAATTTGAAGAGCAAGCCAACACCAAGGACGAGAATTCTAACAAGGACACTATACGTTTCACTGTAGAGAAAGAAAAAGATCAAGACGACACAAAGGAAGACAAATCAAACAAAGGCACTAAAGTTGTCACTGGAGAAAGAGACAAAGAGCAAGTGAAAACCGAGGAGGACAAATCAAAGAAGGGCACTGTTGTTGCCACCGGTGAGAAAGACAAAGATCAAGGGAAGACCAAAGAGGACAAAACAAATAAGGGCACTGAAATTGCCACGGGAGGGAAAGACAAAGAGCAAGACGACACAACTGAACCCAAATCAAAGACTGGCACTAAAGGTGTCACTGCAGAAAAAGAGAATGAGCAAGATGACACCAAGGAAGACAAATCAAAGAAGGGCACTAAAGTTGTCACTGGAGAGAAAGACAAAGAGCAAGTAAAGACCAAGGAGGACAAAACAAACAAGGGCACTAAAGTTTCCACCGAAGCGACATTTAAAGAGCAAGACAACACCAAGGAAGATAATTCAAACAAGAACACTAACATTTTCACTGGAGAGAAAGAAAAAGATCAAGACGACACCCAGGAAGGTAAATCTAACAAAGGCACTAAAGTTGTCACTGGAGAAAGAGAGAAAGAGCAAGCAAAAACCGAGGAGGATAAATCAAAGAAGGGCACCGAAGTTGCCACCAGCGAGAAAGACAAAGAGAAAGGGAAGACCAAAGAGGACAAAACAAATAACGGCGCTAAAGTTGCCACGGGAGGGAAAGACAAAGAGCAAGACGACACAACTGAAAACAAATCAAAGACTGGCACTAAAGGTGTCACTGGAGAAAAAGAGAATGAGCAAGATGACACCAAGGAAGACAAATCAAAGAAGGGCACGAAAGTTGTCACTGGAGAGAAAGACAAAAAGCAAGATGACACCGAGAAAGACAAATCAAACAGGGACACTAAAGTTGCCACCGAAGCGAAATTTGAAGAGCAAGCCAACACCAAGGACGAGAATTCTAACAAGGACACTATACTTGTCACTGTAGAGAAAGAAAAAGATCAAGACGATACCAAGGAAGACAAATCAAACAAAGGCACTAAAGTTGTCACTGGAGAAAGAGACAAAGAGCAAGTGAAAACCAAGGAGGACAAATCAAAGAAGGGCACCGAAGTTGCCACCAGCGAGAAAGACAAAGAGCAAGGGAAGACCAAAGAGGATAAAACAAAAAAGGGCACTGAAATTGCCACGGGAGGGAAAGACAAAGAGCAAGACGACACAACTGAAACCAAATCAAAGACTGGCACTAAAGGTGTCACTGGAGAAAAAGAGAATGAGCAAGATGACACCAAGGAAGACAAATCAAAGAAGGGCACTAAAGTTGTCACTGGAGAGAAAGACAAAGAGCAAGTAAAGACCAAGGAGGACAAAACAAATAAGGGCACTAAAGTGGACAATGCAGATAAAGACAAAGAGCAAGACGACACCAAGGAAGATAATTCAAACAAGAAAACTAAACTTTTCACTGGAGAGAAAGAAAAAGATCAAGACGACACCAAGGAAGACAAATCAAACAAAGGCACTAAAGTTGTCACTGGAGAAAGAGACAAAGAGCAAGTGAAAACCAAGGAGGACAAATCAAACAAGGGCACTGAAGTTGCCACCAGCGAGAAATTAAAAAAGCAAGATGACACCGAGAAAGACAAAACAAACAAGGACACTAAAGTTTCCACTGAAGCGAAATTTAAAGAGCAAGACAACACCAAGGAAGATAATTCTAAGAAGGACACTATACTTGTCACTGTAGAGAAAGAAAAAGATCAAGACGACACAAAGGAAGACAAATCAAACAAAGGCACTAAAGTTGTCACTGGAGAAAGAGACAAAGAGCAAGTGAAAACCGAGGAGGACAAATCAAAGAAGGGCACTGTTGTTGCCACCGGTGAGAAGGACAAAGATCAGGGGAAGACCAAAGAGGACAAAACAAATAAGGGCACTGAAATTGCCACGGGAGGGAAAGACAAAGAGCAAGACGACACAACTGAAACCAAATCAAAGACTGGCACTAAAGGTGTCACTGCAGAAAAAGAGAATGAGCAAGATGACACCAAGGAAGACAAATCAAAGAAGGGCACTAAAGTTGTCACTGGAGAGAAAGACAAAGAGCAAGTAAAGACCAAGGAGGACAAAACAAACAAGGGCACTAAAGTTTCCACCGAAGCGACATTTAAAGAGCAAGACAACACCAAGGAAGATAATTTAAACAAGAACACTAAATTTTTCACTGGAGAGAAAGAAAAAGATCAAGACGACACCCAGGAAGATAAATCTAACAAAGGCACTAAAGTTGTCACTGGAGAAAGAGACAAAGAGCAAGCAAAAACCGAGGAGGACAAATCAAAGAAGGGCACCGAAGTTGCCACCAGCGAGAAAGACAAAGAGAAAGGGAAGACCAAAGAGGACAAAACAAATAAGGGCGCTAAAGTTGCCACGGGAGGGAAAGACAAAGAGCAAGACGACACAACTGAAAACAAATCAAAGACTGGCACTAAAGGTGTCACTGGAGAAAAAGAGAATGAGCAAGATGACACCAAGGAAGACAAATCAAAGAAGGGCACGAAAGTTGTCACTGGAGAGAAAGACAAAGACCAAGTAAAGACCAAGGAGGACAAAACAAATAAGGGCACTAAAGTGGACAATGCAGATAAAGACAAAGAGCAAGACGACACCAAGGAAGATAATTCAAACAAGAACACTAAACTTTTCACTGCAGAGAAAGAAAAAGATCAAGACGACACCAAGGAAGATAAATCTAACAAAGGCACTAAAGTAGTCACTGGAGAAAGAGAGAAAGAGCAAGTGAAAACCAAGGAGGACGAATCAAAGAAGGGCACCGAAGTTGCCACCAGCGAGAAAGACAAAGAGCAAGGGAAGACCAAAGAGGACAAAACAAATAAGGGCGCTAAAGTTGCCACGGCGGGGAAAGACAAAGAGCAAGACGATACAACTGAAGACAAATTAAAGAAGGGCACTAAAGTTGCCACCGGAGAAAAAGACAAAAAGCAAGATGACACCGAGAAAGACAAATCAAACAGGGACACTAAAGTTGCCACCGATGCGAAATTTGAAGAGCAAGACAACACCAAGGAAGATAATTCAAACAAGGACACTAAACTTGTCACTGTAGAGAAAGAAAAAGATCAAGACGACACCAAGGAAGACAAATCAAACAAAGGCACTAAATTAGTCACTGGAGAAAGAGAGAAAGAGCAAGTGAAAACCGAGGAGGACAAATCAATGAAGGGCACTGTTGTTGCCACCGGTGAGAAAGACAAAGATCAAGGGAAGACCAAAGAGGACAAAACAAATAAAGGCACTGAAATTGCCACGGGAGGGAAAGACAAAGAGCAAGACGACACAACTGAAAACAAATCAAAGACTGGCACTAAACATGTCACTGGAGAAAAAGAGAATGAGCAAGATGACACCAAGGAAGACAAATCAAAGAAGGGCACTAAAGTTGTCACTGGAGAGAAAGACAAAGAGCAAGTAAAGACCAAGGAGGACAAAACAAATAAGGGCACTAAAGTGGACAATGCAGATAAAGACAAAGAGCAAGACGACACCAAGGAAGATAATTCAAACAAGAACACTAAACTTTTCACTGGAGAGAAAGAAAAAGATCAAGACGACACCAAGGAAGATAAATCTAACAAAGGCACTAAAGTTGTCAATGGAGAAAGAGACAAAGAGCAAGTGAAAACCAAGGAGGACAAATCAAACAAGGGCACTGAAGGTGCCACCAGAGAGAAAGTAAAAAAGCAAGATGACACCGAGAAAGACAAAACAAACAAGGACACTAAAGTTTCCACTGAAGCGAAATTTAAAGAGCAAGACAACACCAAGGAAGATAATTCTAAGAAGGACACTAAAGTTGTCACTGGAGAGAAAGAAAAAGATCAAGACGACACCAAGGAAGATAGATCAAACAAAGGCACTAAAGTAGTCAATGGAGAAAGAGAGAAAGAGCAAGTGAAAACCAAAGAGGACAAATCAAAGAAGGGCACTGAAGTTGCCACCAGCGAGAAAGACAAAGAGCAAGGGAAGACCAAAGAGGACAAAACAAATAAGGGCACTAAAGTTACCACGGTAGGGAAAGACAAAGAGCAAGACGACACAGCAGACGACAAATCAAAGACTGGCACTAAAGATGTCACTGGAGAAAAAGAGAATGAGCAAGATGACACCAAGGAAGACAAATCAAAGAAGGGAACTAAAGTTGTCACTGGAGAGAAAGACAAAGAGCAAGTAAAGACCAAGGAGGACAAAACAAATAAGGGCACTAAAGTGGACAATGCAGATAAAGACAAAGAGCAAGACGACACCAAGGAAGATAATTCAAACAAGAACACTAAACTTTTCACTGGAGAGAAAGAAAAAGATCAAGACGACACCAAGGAAGATAGATCAAACAAAGGCACTAAAGTAGTCACTGGAGAAAGAGAGAAAGAGCAAGTGAAAACAAAGGAGGACAAATCAAACAAGGGCACTGTTGTTGCCACCGGTGAGAAAGACAAAGATCAAGGGAAGACCAAAGAGGACAAAACAAATAAGGGCACTGAAATTGCCACGGGAGGGAAAGACAAAGAGCAAGACGACACAACTGAAGACAAATCAAAGACTGGCACTAAAGGTGTCACTGGGGAAAAAGAGAATGAGCAAGATGACACCAAGGAAGACAAATCAAAGAAGGGCACTAAAGTTGTCACTGGAGAGAAAGACAAAGAGCAAGTAAAGACCAAGGAGGACAAAACAAATAAGGGCACTAAAGTGGACAATGCAGATAAAGACAAAGAGCAAGACGACACCAAGGAAGATAATTCAAACAAGAACACTAAACTTTTCACTGGAGAGAAAGAAAAAGATCAAGACGACACCAAGGAAGATAAATCTAACAAAGGCACTAAAGTTGTCAATGGAGAAAGAGACAAAGAGCAAGTGAAAACCAAGGAGGACAAATCAAACAAGGGCACTGCAGGTGCCACCAGCGAGAAAGTAAAAAAGCAAGATGACACCGAGAAAGACAAAACAAACAAGGACACTAAAGTTTCCACTGAAGCGAAATTTAAAGAGCAAGACAACACCAAGGAAGATAATTCTAAGAAGGACACTAAAGTTGTCACTGGAGAGAAAGAAAAAGATCAAGACGACACCAAGGAAGACAAATCAAACAAAGGCACTAAAGTAGTCAATGGAGAAAGAGAGAAAGAGCAAGTGAAAACCAAAGAGGACAAATCAAAGAAGGGCACTGAAGTTGCCACCAGCGAGAAAGACAAAGAGCAAGGGAAGACCAAAGAGGACAAAACAAATAAGGGCACTAAAGTTACCACGGTAGGGAAAGACAAAGAGCAAGACGACACAGCAGACGACAAATCAAAGACTGGCACTAAAGGTGTCACTGGAGAAAAAGAGAATGAGCAAGATGACACCAAGGAAGACAAATCAAAGAAGGTCACTAAAGTTGTCACTGGAGAGAAAGACAAAGAGCAAGTAAAGACCAAGGAGGACAAAACAAATAAGGGCACTAAAGTGGACAATGCAGATAAAGACAAAGAGCAAGACGACACCAAGGAAGATAATTCAAACAAGAACACTAAACTTTTCACTGGAGAGAAAGAAAAAGATCAAGACGACACCAAGGAAGATAGATCAAACAAAGGCACAAAAGTAGTCGCTGGAGAAAGAGACAAAGAGCAAGTGAAAACAAAGGAGGACAAATCAAAGAAGGGCACCGAAGTTGCCACCAGCGAGAAAGACAAAGAGCAAGGGAAAACCAAAGAGGACAAAACAAATAAGGACGCTAAAGTTGCCACGGGAGGGAAAGACAAAGAGCAAGACGACACAACTGAAGACAAATTAAAGAAGGGCACTAAAGTTGCCACCAGAGAAAAAGACAAAAAGCAAGATGACACCGAGAAAGACAAATCAAACAGGGACACTAAAGTTGCCACCGATGCGAAATTTGAAGAGCAAGACAACACCAAGGAAGATAATTCAAACAAGGACACTAAACTTGTCACTGTAGAGAAAGAAAAAGATCAAGACGACACCAAGGAAGACAAATCAAACAAAGGCACTAAAGTAGTCACTGGAGAAAGAGAGAAAGAGCAAGTGAAAACCGAGGAGGACAAATCAATGAAGGGCACTGTTGTTGCCACCGGTGAGAAAGACAAAGATCAAGGGAAGACCAAAGAGGACAAAACAAATAAAGGCACTGAAATTGCCACGGGAGGGAAAGACAAAGAGCAAGACGACACAACTGAAAACAAATCAAAGACTGGCACTAAACATGTCACTGGAGAAAAAGAGAATGAGCAAGATGACACCAAGGAAGACAAATCAAAGAAGGGCACTAAAGTTGTCACTGGAGAGAAAGACAAAGAGCAAGTAAAGACCAAGGAGGACAAAACAAATACGGGCACTAAAGTGGACAATGCAGATAAAGACAAAGAGCAAGACCACACCAAGGAAGATAATTCAAACAAGAACACTAAACTTTTCACTGGAGAGAAAGAAAAAGATCAAGACGACACCAAGGAAGATAAATCTAACAAAGGCACTAAAGTTGTCAATGGAGAAAGAGACAAAGAGCAAGTGAAAACCAAGGAGGACAAATCAAACAAGGGCACTGAAGGTGCCACCAGCGAGAAAGTAAAAAAGCAAGATGACACCGAGAAAGACAAAACAAACAAGGACACTAAAGTTTCCACTGAAGCGAAATTTAAAGAGCAAGACAACACCAAGGAAGATAATTCTAAGAAGGACACTAAAGTTGTCACTGGAGAGAAAGAAAAAGATCAAGACGATACCAAGGAAGATAGATCAAACAAAGACACTAAAGTAGTCACTGGAGAAAGAGAGAAAGAGCAAGTGAAAACCAAGGAGGACAAATCAAAGAAGGACACTGAAGTTGCCACCAGCGATAAAGACAAAGAGCAAGGGAAGACCAAAGAGGACAAAACAAATAAGGGCACTAAAGTTACCACGGTAGGGAAAGACAAAGAGCAAGACGACACAGCAGACGACAAATCAAAGACTGGCACTAAAGTTGTCACTGGAGATAAAAACAAAGAGCAAGTGAAGACCAAGGACGACAAAACAAATAAGGGCACTAAAGTGGACAACGCAGAGAAAGAAAAAGATCAAGACGACACCAAGGAAGGCAAATCAAACAAAGGCAGTAAAGTTGTCACTGGAGAGAGAGACAAAGAGCAAGTGAAAACGAAGGAGGACAAATCCAACAAGGACACTAAAGTTGCCACTCCAGAGAAAGACAAAAAGAATGAGAAGACCAAAGACAACAACAAGAATGAGAAGACCAAAGACAACAAAGAGATAAATGGGCATGAAAATGTGGGTAATAAGGAAGCACTAAGAAAAAAAACGGAGATTAGTAAAAAGCAGAGAGGCAACACAGAGGGAAGAGGGAGTCAACATGGTCGAGGAAGTGAAGTGAAAACCAAAAGTGAAGAAAGTACGCGTGGCGGTGATGAAGAAGAAGGCAGTGAGCAGGAGAGACTGGATGAATTTGAAACTGTGGATAATGATTGGGTTGCACGTGATAAAGAAAGTCATAAAATATATAGGGAAGATGGGACAAGCAAGAGGAGGAGGAAGAAGAAGACGAAACATGGCAAGGAAGTAAATGAATGGATTGGAGATGGTGATGAGAGTGAAGAAGATGCCTATGCAGATCACGATGACACAAAACTGATAATTATTTTGAAATCTCATAGTTCCGAAGAAAACAGCAAAGAGAGACATTGGCAAAACAAGGTGGGGAACAAAGAATCAAGAAGAAAAGTATCTAATGAAAGTAAAAAGCAGAGAGTGAAGACAGAAGGAAGGGGGGGTGAACATCATATTGGAAGTGCAGGTTCTATAAAGAGTGAAAACATTTTACATGATTGGGATGAAAATGAAGAAGGCAGTGAGCAAGAAAGGGTTCATTTTGAAACTCTGGATGAAGTTGTCACCACGGAAAAAAAGCAAAAATACACCAAGGATGGCAAATCAAACAAGGGTACTAAAGTTGTTACTGGAGAAAAAGACAAAGAGCAAGACAGCACCAAGGGAGACAAATCAAAGAAGGACACTAAAGTTGCCACTGGAAAGGAAGAGAAAGAGCAAGAACACACCAAGGCAGATAAATCAAACAAGGACACTAAAGTTGCCACCAGAGAGAAAGACAAAGAGCATGTGAAAACCAAAGAAGACAAATCAAACAAGGGCCCTAAAGTTGCCATTGGAGCGAAAGATCAGGACGACACCAAGGAAGACAAATCGAGGAAGGGCTCTAAAGTTTTAATTGGAGAGAAAGATAAAGAGCAAGTGAAAACCAAGGAGGACAAATCAAACAAAGGCACGAAAGTGGCCACCGCAGAGAAAGACAAAGAGCAAGGAAACACCAATGAGTATAAATCAAACAAGGACACTAAAGTTGTCACTGGAGAGAAAGACAAAAAGCAAGATGACATCAAGGAAGACAAATCAAACGAGGGCACTAAAGTTGCCAGCGGACAGAAAGAAAAAGAGCAAGAGAACACCAAAGAGGACAAATCAAACAAAGGCACTAAAGTTGTAACCGGAGAAAGAGACAAAGAGCAAGATGACACCAAGGAAGACAAATCAAACAAGAACACTAAACTTGTCACTGGAAAGAAACAAAAAGATCAAGACGATTCCAAGGAAGACAAATCAAAGGAGGGCACTAAAGTTGCCACCGGTGAGAAAGACAAAGAGCAAGAGAACACCAAAGAGGACAAATCAAACAAAGGCACTAAAGTTGTGACTGGAGAAAGCGACAAAGAGCAAGTGAAATCCAAGGAGGACAAATCAAAGAAGGGCACTGAAGTTGCCACGGGAGGGAAAGACAAAGAGCAAGATGACACAACTGAAGACAAATCAAAGAAGGGCACTAAAATTTCCACCGGAGCAAAAAACAAAAAGCAAGATGACACCGAGAAAGACAAATCAAACAAAGACACTAAACTTGTCACTGGAGAGAAAGAAAAAGATCATGATGACACCAAGGAAGACAACTCAAACAATGGTAGTAAATTTGTCACTGGGGAGAAACAAAAAGATCAAGACGATTCCAAGGAAAACAAATCAAACAAGGACACTAAAGTTGCCACCGGTGAGAAAGACAAAGAGCACGATGACACCGAGAAAGACAAATCAAACAAGAACACTAAATTTGCCACCGAAGCGAAATTTAAAGAGCAAGACAACACCAAGGAAGATCATTCAAACAAGGACACTAAACTTGCCACTGGAGAGAATGAAAAAGATCAAGATGACACCAAGGAAGACAAATCAACGAAAGGCACTAAAGTTGTCACTGGAGAGAAAGGCAACGAGCAAGTGAACACCAAGGAGGACAAAACCAATAAGCGCACTAAAGTGGACAATGCAGAGAAAGACAAAGAGCAAGACGACACCAAGGAAGACAAATTCAAGAAGGGCACTAAAGTTGTGACTGGAGAGAAAGAAAAAGATCAAGACGACACCAAGGAAGACAAATCAAAGAAGGGCGCTAACGTTGCCACCGGAGAAACAGACAAAGAGCAAGACAACACGAAGGAAAAGAAATCAAACAAGGGGACTAAACTTGTCACTGGAGAGAAAGAAAAAGATCAAGATGACAGCAAGGAAGACAAATCATACAAAGGCAGTAAAGTTGTCACTGGAGAAAGAGACAAAGAGCAAGTGAAAACGAAGGAGGGCAAATCCAACAAGGACACTAAAGTTGCCACTCCAGAGAAAGACAAAAAGCAAGATGACACCAAGAAAGACAAATCCAACAAGGGTAGTAACTTTGTAACTGGACAGAAGCAAAAAGATCAAGACGATTCCAAGGAAGACCAATCAAACAAGGACACTAAAGTTGTCACCGGAGAAAGAGACAACGAGCAAGGGAAGACCAAAGAGGACAAAACAAATCAGGGCGCTAAAGTTGCCACGGGAGGGAAAGACAAAGAGCAAGACGACACAACTGAAAACAAATCAAAGACTGGCACTAAAGGTGTCACTGGAGAAAAAGAGAATGAGCAAGATGACACCAAGGAAGACAAATCAAAGAAGGGCACTACAATTTCCACCGGAGAAAAAGACAAAAAGCAACATGACACCGAGAAAGATAAATCAAACAAAGACACTAAACTTGTCACTGGAGAGAAAGAAAAAGATCATGACGACACCAAGGAAGACAAATCAAACAAGAACACTAAAGTTGCCACCGAAGCGAAATTTAAAGAGCAAGACAACACCAAGGAAAATCATTCAAACAAGGACACTAAACTTGTCACTGGAGAGAAAGTAAAAGATCAAGATGACACCAAGGAAGACAAATCAACGAAAGGCACTAAAGTTGTCACTGGAGAGAAAGGCAACGAGCAAGTGAACACCAAGGAGGACAAAACAAATAAGGGCATTAAAGTGGACAATGCAGAGAAAGACAAAGAGCAAGACGACACCAAGGAAGACAAATCCAAGAAGGGCACTAAAGTTGCCACTGGAGAGAAAGATGAAAAGAAAGATGACACCGAGGAAGACAAATCAAACAAGGACACTAAAGTTGGTACCGGAGACATAGACAAAGAACAAGGGAAGACCAAGGAGGACAAATCACACAAGGATGCTAAAGTTACCACCGGAGAGAAAGATAAAGAGCAAGAGAAGGCCAAGGAGGATGAAACAAAGGAAGGCACTAAAATTTCCATAGGAGAGAAAGACAAAGAACAAGACGACACCAAAGAAGACAAATCAAACAAGGGCACTAAAGTTGACACCACAGAGAAAGACAAAGAGCGCGAGAAGACCAAGGAGGACATTTCAAACAAGGACACTAAAGTTGCCACCAGAGAGAAAGACAAAGAACAAGGGAAGACCAAGGAGGACAAATCACACAAGGATACTAAAGTTTCCACCGGAGAGAAAGATAAAGAGCAAGAGAAGGCCAAGGAGGATGAAACAAAGGAAGGCACTAAAATTTCCATAGGAGAGAAAGACAACGAGCAAGCGAAGACCAAGGAGGAAAAATCAAACAAGAGCACTAAAGTTGCCACCGGAGAGAAAGACAAAGAACAAGACGACACCAAAGAAGACAAATCAAACAAGGGCACTAAAGTTGACACCACAGAGAAAGACAAAGAGCGCGAGAAGACCAAGGAGGACATTTCAAACAAGGACACTAAAGTTGCCACCGGAGAGAAAGACAAAGAACAAGGGAAGACCAAGGAGGACAAATCACACAAGGATACTAAAGTTTCCACCGGAGAGAAAGATAAAGAGCAAGAGAAGGCCAAGGAGGATGAAACAAAGGAAGGCACTAAAATTTCCATAGGAGAGAAAGACAACGAGCAAGCGAAGACCAAGGAGGAAAAATCAAACAAGAGCACTAAAGTTGCCACCGGAGAGAAAGACAAAGAACAAGACGACACCAAAGAAGACAAATCAAACAAGGGCACTAAAGTTGACACCACAGAGAAAGACAATGAGCACGAGAAGACCAAGGAGGAAAAATCAAACAAGAGCACTAAAGTTGCCACCGGAGAGAAAGACAAAGAACAAGACGACACCAAAGAAGACAAATCAAACAAGGGCACTAAAGTTGACACCACAGAGAAAGACAAAGAGCGCGAGAAGACCAAGGAGGACATTTCAAACAAGGGCACTAAAGTTGCCACCGGAGAGAAAGACAAAGGGCAAGATAAGACCAAGGAGGATAAATCAAACAAGGACACTAAAGTTGCCAACCGAGAAAAAGACAAACAGCAAGACACCAATAATGATGTCAAATCAAGCAATAGCAGTAACGTTGCTAACGGAGAGAAAGACAAAAAGCAAGATAAGACCAAGGAGGAAAAATCAAACAAGGACACTAAAGTGGTCACTGTAGACAAAGAACAAGCGGAGGGCAAAGGCACGAAGCAGAATCGAGTTGAAACATCTGCTCCTGGCAAAGGTGATAGCAGCAGTCAAAAGAAAGAGTTGCTTTGTGTAGGGTAGTTGGAGTAATAATTAGTACAAATCCTCCTCCCCACACCCCACCCTACCCGACTGTTGATCCATTATCGTAAAACAGGGTCGAAATTCGACCCCTGAATCAATTTTGTTTTCATCTTTTCGGCATATATATTGGTTTCTAATGGCTGCTGGGGTCTTTTGTTCCCATTGCTTACTCCATATAATCATAATAGAAGCTTAAGACCATTTTTCACTCCACTGCTGAATGAACACTTGGCCGCGTTGCTCACACCAGCTGTTTTACCACGACGCTAGTCAGTGCAGATCGGTAATTTCTCCACTTGGTATGTAACTTCGGAGAGGAAATGCGTAAGCAGTGGTCATATTAGAACAAATGAAATGCAAATTTTGTGTATTTGTGAAAAATAAAATGAAATGAAAGGACAACTCTGTTCAGATGTTTTTATTTGCGTTTTCATGCTTTTTGCGTCCATCCACCAGTCACACATCCTTTAGTCCCCGCAGGTTGCCTGTTGCAAAATCTTGCACAGGGCATTTGGCCTTCTTCAAGCAGTCGGTAGACCAAGTGGTATGCCGTCTCTCGCCATGGTCGCAGGTCTCTTTATTTGTATTAAATGTATTTTAGTATTGTCATTATTCAGGTGCACGAAATGGTTATGGGAAAGTGGAGTGCATGTTTTCATGTTGGCAGAACGTGGGATTGCTGATTGCCACTTCATTCTATGTATGGTGGGTTCTCTCCGGGTTATTGATGTCCTCTGTTAATACGCTAAACAATTATGGAATTGAATATAAGAATCGGTTTTCCCCTTTTTTCTGGCAACAAAACAGGTGTTAATACATTCATATTCTTGGATCTTTCGGTAAAGTCACGTTGAGGGGAAACAATAAATTAATAATATATATTGTTTCCCTTCAACGTGACTTTACCGAAAGAACCAAGAATATGAATCACTGCAGTCACGAAAGCTTTAAATCAAAATTTAGGTGTTAAGATGTTAAAACACCAAACTAAACTTTTTACAAGGAATCATATCTGCATTAACCACAGATACTTGCGGTGAAAATACAAACAAAAAACATGTTCTGACACTTATGGAAGTGACCAAACATCACAATGCATGATCCTTCTGAAAGAGTTTTTGGAATCAGTGAGGCTTTTCTGGGTTAAACATTAGTTTTATTACTAGTATTATATTTGTTTTAGTATCGTTCATGTTGTTTCGTAGACTGTTTTGTGTTCTTTTAAATCACTTCTCTTTCAATAAAAAGAGTAAGTGAAATGACGCAATGTATTGGAATTTAAACTGGCCAAGTAATTATTTGTATGGGTTGAGAGGTGTCTGCTTGGAATTACATTGAAAGAAAGATTAATAAAGAGTAATGGATTACAGTACACACGCACGTTAGGTGCATCATATTTAGCTCGTGAAAAGTGCGTGGACTTCGGCGAAGGATAAATGGGGATTGTGAATGCTGGTCGAGACTTAACCAAAACATCTCCCACGTCTGACACCATGCCTTTTGTCCAGCAGTCGACCGAGAAAGGAGCTGCACAATTGTTGATTTGTTGTATTATTTTACGGTGATTTTCGGAACAAATTCGCGAATTTGAAACCCAGTAAGAGACCATGCAGTAGACTGGCATATAATATTCGTTTCTTTATTCATACACTCGTGATGCGTATACAGGATCAGACGCTTAAGGGACAATTATAGGAACGGGACAGAGTAGGAACGAACATATGATGCAAACAATAGAATATGGATAGTGGAAACGAGATAGCGTAAACTAGGCATATGATTAATACAAAATCGTAGAAATTTGGAAATATTTTCGACCGACAATCGTAACGCGACAAGCAGCACATTAAAGTACAAGGCAGATACAACGGAGATGCAAAAAAGCCAGCCAGAACGAACAACACAAACAATATAAACAAGACGGTTGCAATGAGAAAGCATGTATGAGCCACGCAGTGCAAACCAAGATGGTACAAGCAAAACAAAACAAACTAGATGCGCCGCATGTTTAAGATGGAATAATATGCACGACGCAACAGCACCAAATCATCGAATCTTTTTATGTCAGAATAGGCCGAATGCAGAGAAGTGATCAGCAATCGGCAGTTTGGCTTTACTACGCTGGAGGCCACAAGTTCACAATAATGTATCGTGAGTTATATTTACATTATTTTGGCGCGTTATTCGTGCAATTCACTGTTGCCTTTGCTAAGGCATTGCTTGATTTACTCAAATCACTCAAATTTGACCAGCTGTTTCGGCATGCGGTGGCTGGGCATGCGGGCTACATGACCCAGCCAGTAACACACACACAAAGTAACACACACTCCCACTAATGCACACTCCCAGTAACGTATACACAGCAACGAACACACATTAACGCACACTCCCAGTAACGCATACTCCCACTAATGCACACACAGTAACGCACAATCCCATTAACACACACTCCCAGTAACGCACACTCCCATTAAGGCACCCCCATCAATGCAAACACAGTAACACACACTCCCACTAACGCACACTCCCAGTAACACACACTCCCAGTAACGCACACTCCCATTAACGGACAACCCCGTAAGAAGCTCGTTCTTCGGCCGTTGCGAATTTATTTAATGATTTATCTGGGCGTGGTCCCTTGTCCCTTGCGTGACCCCCCCCCACACTCAATCCTGGCCGTGTCCCCGCCCGACCTCTACACTTTGATGACGTGAGTTCACGTGAGCCACAACCCCCCACAACAAAATACAACTATGAAACAATCGATGTATTTAAAATGACCGTTCGTCAAATCGAACCGTAAGCCCCTATTTTGACGACCCGATTAAGAAACAGCCCTGGTCTCCTCACTGCTCCCACAACAGCGAGACGACCCGATGAAGAAACAGCCCTGGTCTCCTCACTGCTCCCACAACAGCGAGAACAGCTTTCAACCGAGTTCCCACACCACCAATACGCAGTGGAAGAAGATGTGGTTTGGGCATTTCCTCCATCAATAGAACGATCAGGGACTCCGCCAGACTGAGAATGTGCTGGTGAGGAGGTGCAAGATAATATTCAACCTTTGGTTCTTTCGGTAAAGTCACGTAGGTAAAAAAATAATAATAAAAATCAAATCAAATCACGACGTTTCGGGCGCATCGTGATTTGATTTTGATTTGATTTTTTACCTACGTGACTGTACCGAAAGAACCAAAGCGTATGGATCCTTGCAGTCACGAAAACTTCAAATCTAGAAGATGCAAGACAATCAGGCCGAATATTACTCGCTCGCTAACTCACTCCCCCATCGATCACTCACTCACCCAGCGAATGCACTGGTGAGGAGGTGCAAGATAATATTCAACCTTCCCTATAATTCCCATACCTCGACCCTTCTCGTGCAACTGCACTGGCTCCATGTCTACGACTGCTGCCTGTTCAAATGCCGACAAATCCCTTCATGGACTTGCACCACAATACCTTGCCACGCTTGTATCTTTCTACGTGCCTTCTCGCCCTCTACGTTCTCAATCCTTGCTCTCTCTCTCTCTGTCCCTCCTTCTCCTTGTGCTCAATCCACGCCCCACTTCACAGGAACAAACTTTCCCTCCACATTAACAGTCACCTTCGCTCACTAGTTTCCGCTCCACACTCAGAACTCACTAATTTTCCCTCGCTCACCCTCCCGCGGACGACCCTTCCTTAATATCCGCCTCATATGAGACCACCACCGTTATTTTCTCCTCTTAATATTCTCATTATATGGCTATCACTCATTCCTCATTCATTCAATCCATTCATCATCATTTACTGTCATCAATTTCGCTTTCACCAAATTCACGCATCACAGATTTGCCCATTCCTTCCTCTCATATATTTCATCCACCTCATCTCCACCAATACATCCATATGTACCGTTGTTAATTATTTGTTAAAACGCCTTGCATGCGCCATATACATTTATTTAAGATAAGATAAGACAATAAGGCAAAATATCACTCGCTCGTTAGCTCACTCACCCATTGTTCATTCGCTCGCTCACCCATTGCGCACCCCTCCATCAATAGAATGATCAGGGACTCCCCCAGACTGCGGACGCGCTGGTGAGGAGGTTCAAGATAATTAGGCAGAATATCACTCGCTCGATCACTCACCCATCGCTCACTCACTCGCTCACTCAAGCAGGCGTAATATCACTGGTGACTGCCCCAATAGAACGCGGCTGTTATGCTTGTGGAACAAAATAACTCCTCCACTCAGCAGGGACGTGTCTGTTCAATTGGCCGAGTCTTTCAGGTTGAACAGATCGGCGTTCCGGTAGGTGGACGAGGAGACCCGGCAGGTGAAGATGAGCCGGAAGGCACCGCGGAAGGAACGGTTGAAAGAGGCGAAGAGCACGGGGTTTATGGCCGAGTTCACGTACGCGATCCAGTTGGCCACGTCCCAGCTCGTGGCGCTCGTCTGGTAGCCAATTATTGGGTCGATCACCGCCACGGAGCAATAGGGCAACCAGAAGATCAGGAAGACTCCCATGATGATTCCGAGTGTCTTCGTGGCGTTGTGCTCGCGCCTCATCGCCGCCCACTGCTGGCGGGTGGAGGATGAGGAGAACTCGACCCCGGGGACGTGCGCGCTGTTGGCGCGGATCTTGTTCACCTGCTCGCGGGCAATGCGGAATATCTTGGCGTAGGAGGTGACCATGATGCAGAGCGGGATGAGGTAGGCGAAGAAGGCGTTCGTGAAGGCGAAGGCCATGTTGCCCACCACCGGGCACGCGTCCCGGCACGAGCCCCGCGCGATCACCTGCTCGATCCCGAGCACGGTCCAGCCGGAGAAGAACGGCAGCCCGTAGGCCAGTGTGGTGCTCCAGCAGACCACCAGCATCAGCGCTACCTTGATCACACAGCAGCACCAACAATAGAAGACGATGCACGGGGAGAGCGAAGTGGAGAGGTAACGTTTCTGCATCGATGTGAGCGGTGTGGGCGGGCACGCCGAGCTCGTTCCGACTCATTCCGCGTGCTTGGGGTGATCGACGAAGATCTCACAAGGCAAAGGCGCATCTCTGCAATTGCCGGCTGATGACACTGCTGGCGGAAGAACCTTCTCCTCTAGACGGAGCTCTACACACTCCTCTCTCCCCCCCCCCACCTTCTCTAGAGTGTATTTAACCTACTCTCCCATGCTGGACAGAAATCTTGGAAGAGGTGGGAGTGCCCACACTTTACCCAACCAGACGCGATCTGCTTAACGACTAACTATGGAGTACCCATATATATTGCTCGCTTGGATATCATTTCGGGGGAGGGTTTCAACTACTGCGTCCGGAGATCAAATTGAACTGGCGAGCGTAACTCATATTTGCAAGTCCAGTGTGCTATTCATTACATTGTAATGTGGCTATCCATTACATTTTAATGGATAGCCATATCGCGACAAACTAATCCTTTTGCTCACCAGATCTATCTACTGTCACACATTTTAAGGCAGTAGGCATTTTAAGACACAAGCCACAGTAGTGTGCTTGTGGTCATGCAACCCAAATAATGGAGTGGAGATCAAACCCATAGAGATGCATAGAGATACACAGAGACTCAAAGAGAAACATAGACACCCGTAGATATACATGAAGACCCAACAGGAAACAGTGACAAACTAAAGACCAGCCACAGTATTGACCATGCAACCCATTTACTGGACCGTATAGTAAACCCATCGAGACGCTTAGATACACGAGGTACTCAGAGATACATAGAGTCCTATTGAGCTACACAGAGAAACAGATAAACCCATAGAGACCCACCAAGATAGATAGAGACTCATTGAGGTACATAGACACCCATAGAGACCCATAGATACGATAAAGTAAACCACTGCAGTCTGCGCTCATTCAGCGGAGGAGGAACTTCAAAACGACACGAACTCTCTCTCCTTAAGCCCTCTCGTCGTGACCATCAGCAGAACCTCGACATTGGTATCCGTCCCCTGAACATCTAGCTGCTACCATCATAATTTTCTTCTTTCCCCGATACCTCCGATTAGCACGGTTGGCTACGTAAGGTGCCATAAGAGACTAGAATTGAATCGAATAGCGTATCTCATGAGTTGCTGGAAATACCTTCGACGGCCCGAGCCGCTTCGGGTATCGCAGCGGGTCGCTGACGGCGATGTAGCGGTCGATGGAAATGCAGCTGAGGTGGATGACGGACGACGACGTGAACGTGAAGTCGAACCACGTGTGCACCTTGCAGAATAAGCTGCCGTAGAACCAGCAGCTGTAGACGGCGCGCATCATGCTGTAGGGCATCACCAGCAGGCCCACTAGCATGTCAGCGAGGGCGAGGGAGAGCGTGAAGGCGTTGGTGCGCGTCTGCAGCTGCCGGAAGTAGAGGATGGAGAGGACGATGAGCGAGTTGCCCACGACGGTGCAGGCGCTGAACGAGATGAGCACCACCAGAGCGAGAGTGCGCTGCGGCGCGGGCAGGCGAGGGCTCGAGCAGCTGAGGTTGTTGTACGAGTTGACGCAGAGCAGCCTAGGAGCCTCGACATCCGATTGGTTGTCCATGCTTGTCCTGATATGTAACCAAAACATTTATACGTATTAGGGTAAGTACGTATGTGTATATATGTATGTGTGTTAGTGGTCGACTCAGCCTCGAATGAGTACCTGGTGCGGTGTGTAAATTACGCCAATAAGGAGACAAAGGTGGCCGGGTGTAGTATTGGCCTCCCACCCCCTCGTGCTCCGTGCCGGCCTTCATAGGTGCTCGCTAACATCACTTGCCCCAAAAAGTTTGTTAAAGTTATACGGGGGATCTTTGTTTTTGTTGAGGAGCGCGCTGTGCCCTGAACCCGGCGACCCGAGTTAGATTACCGCTCGCGACCACCAACACCAGTAACGAGTAACTAAAGCGGTCCTGGACATCCCCTACGTTGACTCAAATGAGTACCTGGTGCGGTGTGTATATGGTGCTGGTCACCCACCCCCTTGTGTACCGTACCGACTTTGAAAGGTTGTCGCTTACAGTACTTGACCCAAACGTCTGTTTAGGCTATATGGCGGTTATTAGTCTTTGTTTTCCATTTGTATTTTCTGTATGTTAATCTGTACGTCTGACTAAATACCTGGTGATGAGTGTGAGTACTTGGTAATGCGTCTGCCTTAGTACCCATTGATAATATTCAAATATGAGCACTATTAACGTGACTTCGATAGTAAAGAACTGTGTTATGTCACCTTCTGGGGGCTGCACTTAGGACACAAGGTGGTACACATCTTAATGCGTCTTGGAAAATGTATGATCACTCACATTTTACCCCACCACACGCGAACTGCCAACTGTGTTTTTTACATACTGCTCTGCGGACAGAAAAGCGAGATTTTAAATAAACTCGCGCCGTAATTTCACCTCCCGCAACCGGGAGATATGCACTGGGCTTCTTTGGATGAAAATTGGTTTGTGGAGTTTGTGACTCTGTCTTCATTGGTGCAAATAGCACCTAGGAGGGCCGGGCGGTACACTAGGGGTTGGGTGGCCAGCACCACGCCCGGCCTCCTTTGTCTCCCCAGTGGCAATGTTTTCACACTGCACTTATTTGAGGCTGAGTCGACCGAGGAAAGTCCCAGAACCGGTTCAGATAATCGTCAATGGCGTTGGCCGTGAGCGGGAATCGAACTTGAGTCGCTGGGTTTGTAGTGCATCGCGCTAACCGCCCTTGGCCCAAATATCTAAGGATATACATACATGGAATCTGACACTTTTCTGCGCCCATTTCAAGCCATTATAAACTGTTTAGTTGGAGGCTTTCCCCCCTTTTCTCTCCGCCTGATGACGACCGCTTGTGTTGCGATCACAACGTCGTGAGTTTTTGGCTTTGATTAATTATTTTATTTATTTATAATTTATTTTAAAAATATTCATTATTTTCTATCTACGTGACTTAACGAAAGAATCAAAGAATATATACATGGATGTTTGTATTTATCTTGTGCTGAGCCACCAAAATAGGTGCTCGCTCACGGTACTTTCCCCAATAGTCTATGTAGGCTACATGGGGACGGTCTATGAATGCATGTGTGTCTGCGCCATATTTGTTTGCATGTGTGTATGTTCCCTTTTCATGTTCTGTTAGGTTGACTCAGCCTTATATATACCCGGTACTTTGTGTAAGATTAACGATGGGGAGACAAATAGTGGTCAAGCCGACCTCAATATGCACTCGCTAACGCAGAGTTTCCTACACTCCAGTCCTCGCGACCCAATTTACTGTCCATTCAAATGCTAATTAACTTCTTCCACGCTACACGCACCATGATTATTAAATACGTTCCACGTGACGCGCTAAGCAATTAATACTGTGATCCGTGTGTCCAAGTGTTGTATGTGTACACGTGTTCCTTTCCTGACTACGGATAGAGTTGATATTCGAATCTGGCATGTGCCTCTCCTCGGTCGCCTCAGCCTTAAATGCGCGCGTGGGGGGTTAGGGTTAACATTATTGTTATGGGTAGGGCTATGGGTAGAGTTATAGGGTAGGTTAGCAGTAGTGTTAGGGGTAACATTAAGGGTAGGGTTATGGGTAGACTTATAGGTATATTAACGTTAGATTTTGATTTAAAGCTTTCGTGACTGCAGAGATTCATATTCTTGGTTCTTTCGGTAAAGTCACGTAGAAGGGAAACAATAAAATAATAAAAATATAAAACAATAAAATTCTCACGACGTTTCGACTGCAACACAAGCAATCATCATCAGGTGATGAAGAATATATATTAACATTAGGTTTAGGGGTAACTTTATGGTTATGGGTAGGGCTATGGGTAGAGTTATATGTAGGTTATCGATAGGGCATGGGGTAACAGCATGGGTATGTGTAGGGTTATGGGTAGGACTGTGGCTATGGTTGGGGCCAGGGCTATGGTTCGATGAAGTGCTCGGTCGAACACAAAGCACATCGTGCTGCGGTTCTAGCATCGAGGACAAAAATCGGTCTGGACTGTACAACGCGAAGAAGATATCACTTTCACGAGAATACTACAGAGCAATGGCACGAGACATCGTTAAGTGTCTAGATCTTCAGTTCGTACAAACTATTGATCGATTGAACGAGGACAGACAGAAACGATCTATTACGAACGAGGTGGACAGCACAGACAGTACAGACAGAGCGTGCGAGTCCGTACAAACGAGGCGACCCAATCCTCAAGCTAGAACCTAGCCTCGAATCCAGGTGGCCGGCCGCCCCGTCTGTACGATTGCCTGCTCAGGGTCTAAGACACGACCATTATAAACCCCCTCAGAGTCACACGGTCACCCAGCATCCGTCACTCGTGCTCATATGTCAACACCTTCGAGGACGTTACGATCATTGAGTGACGTAACTCGTCCCGTGAAATCCGTATTGGAAACCCGGTCAACTCGCATCTCACCGTACGTAGCCCAAACGATTAGCACGGTTGGCCACGTAGACGGTGCGAAATAGGTTAAACATGCGGTACATAATAGGTAAAAGGTAAAAGGCGCAGCCCTGCAATGGCTTTACTCGCACCACTACTGGCCAAAGTACCTTCACCAGAGGGGAGCTCGAGCGAGAACCCCTCTGGGGATATTTTTCTGGCCTCCACTTCGACACTGGCCAGACTCCTCGGCAGAGGTGGAATTTACCCACGCTTTACCGCACCACACGCGACCCCCTGCCGATCGGCTGGACCTTGTGGTGAAGCAATTGAAACTTGCTCCATTGTCTGTCTCATTAACCTGCCGCGCCGGGAGATCGGTTTGATCCGGCGACCTGTGAGGAGCCTCACCTCAAACCGCGTCTTTATTTTGTTCCGGAACACGCAGACGTGTTGTTGATAATATCGATACGATTGAAATGATTACGACTATGGTTGTATACATATATATGGACTGATCTCCAGCTACAATCTCACACAGACAAGCGCCCCTATCTAGGTGGGATCCTATCCAGATGGGGCCCGATCCAGGTGCCTCTATTTATGAGTTGGAGAGTACCCCCCTCCTCCCTCCCCCTTATGAGTGACGTTTTGAACCCTCTTGGTGATGTCGAAATAGCCCCTCCCTGCCCCCCCCCCCCCCCCCAAATAAAAACAAACGAAATGTCCCACCCCAAAATGTGAGACCAGACAGTTCACACTTCCCTAATACACTTGGGGAATGTGAAAATTAGCGAGCGACTAGTGGGTGGGACCAATTAGCGGTGGCGTTGTTGTTTCTGGCTGTTGTTATAATTATAGAGCACTTGGCACTATTTGCTATGTGACGTCTCACGGGGTCACAGTGAGATAACAGGGTGGACTGTGTATAATTATAAGTTATTAATAGTCTTGTGTGGGCGTGGTGAGCGGGTGGGTATGTGGATCTGTGTATCGGTGTGTGTGTCCATTCGGTGTATTAATGTGTGTGTTACATTGCCGTGGTGCTGGCCACCCACCCCCTGGTGTGTCGTGCCTGCCTTCATAGGTGCAACTCGCTAACATCACTTTGCCCAAAAGTCCGTTAAGGCTATACGGGGGATCTTTGTCTTGTTAACATCGCCACTAGAGAGACAAAGGCGGCCGGGCGTGGTGATGCTGTCCTTCATGGGTGCTACTCGTGAACAGCACTTGTCCCAACAGTGGGTTAAGGCTACACTTTGTCAAGATTTAACTGGGGATATTGATCTCCGTTCACAGGTTTGTTGATATGTGCATGTGTAGTGTCATCGCTGGATGTCAACATGTTGGGTGCAGTACCGGCCCTCGAGGGGCACGGTGAACGCTGAATGATAGCGCTAGATGTCACCACGCTTTTCATGCAGTGCCGACCCTACAGGACAGGGTGTGTGGGAGCCGGCCGAAGGATGAGGTTATTCGAGGCCATGGCACTCTGGTTGACCCGGGAAGACATGTGACCAGTTGAGTCTACAAAGGGGCCCCAAGAGTGGGCTAGGGGTGGTCACTTGATTGGGACCCAGATCCTTCCCGTTGATTCTGGAAGGTGGACGTGGCCAAGGGCGGAGCCGGCCACGCCACAGATAATATAAGCCGGGTCCCAGGAGGAAGAAACCCTTCATCTACGTTCTCCGTTCAACGAGTCTCCAACACGTGGACCCGGGCCGAAGCTATTGGTCCCAATCCATCATAGCAGTTACGTTGTAACTAGTGTAGTTAGCCTGGTAGTCACCACCATAGGTTGTTATTCTGTTAAGGGGAAATTTACCCCGTGTGTTGGAACAGAATAAATGTGTTGCCTCCATGTCTACGACTGCGACTTAGTTGAACCCATTACACATGCATGTGTGTGGGTGCGGTGGTGCAGTGGTAGCGCGCTGCGCTACAAATCTCTCTACCCTAGTTAGATTCTCTCTCATGGCCAACGCCATTGACGATTATCTGAACCGGTCATGGGCGTCCCCTAAGTCAACTCAGCCTCAAATGGGAACCCACACTTTACCCGCAATCTCACGCGATCTGCCGATGGACTAATTGTACCGTGCTCGTTCATGCTGCTGGCGGGTCAGAGGAGCGAGGGAGAGATTTAAGAACATCGCCAATGTATTCAACAGCCGCGCCGGGAGGTCGAATTGAATCGGCGGCCCGTGGATTGAAATGCCACTGTACTGACCATTACACACACTCCCCACCTGACCCACTTCTGATTATTTTGAAATAACAATTAACAATACCGAAGTCGCCATTATTTATTAACGTATGCAACTTTTATCAAGACACACCGACGACATTCTACAGAGATTCAAATCAACACAGCCATCAAGTCGTTAAATATCAAAATCCAAAGCGATTCCGTGACCACACAAGCAAGCAATGGGGCGGCATGCATTGTGCTCTGAGCCATATCAGAATTAGCATCATCATCTTGGGCCACGATCGATTCACTGCTGGATGAAGGCCTCCATCTCCACACCGACGCCAACCCTCATTCTTGCGCGATGCAAAAACCTGCAAAAAGATTATCGTCGCATTCCCTTCCTCTTGGATTGTTACGACGGTTAGCATAGCCAGTACTAAAAAATACCGTTTAAGAAACATCCCTTAGTAGATTATGGTTCTGGATTCGAACTTATCATGACAATTTCCATTGCTGACTGCCCTACAGCGCCAGGTTTGGCTGAACAAGACGTGCAGCTGTGTAAAGCTTTGGAATCACTTAGCAGCAATCATTTGCCTTTCGAAGCCATATTGAAGTGTTGTCGAAGTCCCCCCCCCCCCCCCCCCCCGATGCTCCACCACTTTCGCTCTCCCACCGTGCCAACTGGCCGTGTTGTATCTGCCTGGCGTTCCGTACGTTGTTGTGAGCGTCGCTCCTTCGCTGCAGCGGGGGTCTCGCCGACAGCTTCCCAACAGCTTCTTTACACTCGGGCAGCTATGGCATCATACTGACTGATGCCAACGCGTCCCGTAATTATGTTGTCGCGTGTCTCGTCAGTCCAGTAGTTTGGGGCGCCACCGTGGTGAGATGTTAACTACCTCTCCTCGTATACAGGACGTCGTGGGTTTTAACTCGACCCTGACGTCTGTATATTTAGAGTTTGCGTGTTTCTCTCCACGTGGTCATGTGGGGTTTTTTTTTCTCCTGGTCCTCCAATCTTTCTCTCTACATTTAGAAACAACATGCATTCACCTCTTTCCTAAAATCCGGCAATCAAATGCTAATTTTTATGCTAATTTCTTTGTCAGAACACCTTGTTTGTGCGCACACAGGTCCGATGTCTGAGCGTGGTTGTGTTTCGCTAAATTCTCCTGTTTGATGAGTACTAGGTGCCTCGGTGAATGTATGTGCTCTAACTTTAACATAGCTATTTCTGTGACCAGTTACAAGCTAATCACTCAGCTATTTCAATGCTAAATTCGATGCTAATTCCTTTGTCAAGGGGTACCTCTGCGGATGTGTATACTTTAACTTAGCTATTTCAATAAGCCATTTCAATGCTAAATTATATGCTAATTCCTTTGTCAAGGCACTTGGCCTTTTTCTTCTCACACAGCTTAAAGGTCGTGATCTAAGCGTGGCTTCTTCCACTCCAGCGCTAATTCCTTTGTCAAGGGGTACCTCTGCGGATGTGTATACTTTAACTTAGCTATTTCAATGAGCCATTTCAATGCTAAATTATATGCTAATTCCTTTGTCAAGCAGCGCTAATTCCTTTGTCAAGGGGTACCTCTGCGGATGTGTATACTTTAACTTAGCTATTTCAATGAGCCATTTCAATGCTAAATTATATGCTAATTCCTTTGTCAAGGCGCGTGGTCTTTTTCTTCTCACACAGCTTAAAGGTCGTGATCTAAGCGTGGCTTCTTCCACTCCAGCGCTGTCCCCCAGACAGTCTCATCCCTTCACCTGATGAAGGCCGCTTGTGTTGTGGCCGAAACGTCGTGATTTTTTGTTATTTTATTTTCACCTACGTGACTTTACTCAATAGAACCAAAGAGTATTACCTGTTTTTCTTTTGTCGGGTTGGTGACCCCCGGCTCACTCTGGCAAGAAATGAGACCCCCAACCTGCTCTCTGGTCGAACAAAACACGCTTGAAACTTGATTATAAGGCGCAGAATGAAAAATTTAGCTTTACATTTCCGAAACCCAGCCTATCCCTCGTCTTCCCGGACAGAAATGCATGGTAGGGGCCAGGGACATATTTTTCAGTTCCGGCAGCAATTAAACCCTGATCTATGATATATATTTACACAGAGTAAATTACATTTCTATCATTAAACTAAATTAATTCAAACGGAAAATTGACCAGCATTGAGTTGCGTGCCTAGACACCTTTGTGTGGGCACTGTAGGACTAAAAAACGCTGGAGAATGGCATCTGGCCAGATCAATAAAGAGCCACTGATCGTAAGCGTTGCTACAAAGGGATCGATCTGTTCAGCTTCATACACCTAGTGGTGAACATGATGAGAATGCTATAGCTGAGATGGATTTGTGGAGTTTAGCAACAACAACAAAAATGGCAGTCTGAAAAATGGAAGAGGTTGAGATGACGAGTGTGGGGGAGGGGAGAAGAGTGAGAATAGATCGCGATGGTTTTCACGAACGTTGTCAGAACGTGGAGAGACTACGTCAGAAGGATAGTTACGTGAAAGGAAAAGATGGGGGTGGAGGGGGGGAGATTGAATTCGACGTTGTCAACGACATGGAGATGGGTCAAAGATTGTTGGGGGGGGGGGGGGGGGGGGAGGCTCGTGTAAGAGAGTCCACATGAGTTGTCCTGGTTTTGGGAACTTCCCTGTTCCAGAAACAAAAAGATCCCCTGTATAGTCTCAACAGACCATTGTAGAAAGTGCGTTTAGCGATCACCTATGAAAGCCGGCTCTGACACGCGAGAAGGTGGGTGGCCAGCACCATGCCCAGCCGCATTTTTGCCCAGTGCTGATGTGTACACACCGTGCCAAATACTCATTTGACGCTGAGTCGACCCAATAGATTGATTAACGATTGCTTACAGTCCTTTGTGAGTCCACTGTTAGTTGCGGGGCCTCACCACACGGTGCGGGCCGTGGTGCTGTTTGGCCGATTCTTCACTCTGTCGATTGGTGTTGATTGTTATGATGACGTTCCCAGGACAGCCGTCAGATGTCACTCTCGACAAAAGTTAGCCATGGCCCGGAATCAAACTAAACTGGCCAGGTTCATAGCTACCGTGGCGATATGGTATTACAACTCTACGTGCACACAGTCACTTCTGAATTACCCGGGTTCCGGATTAACGGCGCTTGAAAAACAATGCATCTCTTGTTTCATGCGCTGGCTTAATAACTGCTGCCAATGAATGAATAAATAAATAATACACTACTCTCAACTCATCGTGGGCCATTGACTCACGTGATCCGGAACACATTGGCCAGGAAAACCGATTCCGTCAACGAGCAATACACTAGAGCCACGTTTACACATTGTGTCCTCTCCTCCTCGAATACTCTGGAGAATCCAGAGTTTATTTTAATTGCAAGAATAATCTTTTTATCTTGTTACAAAGTGTTAGCAAAAAAAACCCTCATTACGCCCACAAAGCAACGATAATTACTCCACACCATCCAGGATTTTTTTCACGAAATTACCGAACGCTGTCTTGGTGGTTTAAGCAAGAAATCGATCGCCACTGAAAAGAAAAAGACATTCAACCACGCAGATACGATTAGCAAGGTTGGCTACGTATGGTGCCAAATAAGTTCAACACACATACAAAACAACCATCTTCCCAAGTACAAATCCGAATGCTCATGCCATCTCAGCCACTTCGCTTCCGCGTTTAAAACTGAACAGATCCGTCCCTCTGTAGCTTCCACGCAGGATTTTGCCGCTCACGATCAGATAGAACGCGTTGCGGAACGAGCGATTGAATGCCGCGAAGAGGATGGGGTTCATTGTGGAGTTGATGTAGGTGAACCAGTTGGCCACGTCCCACACCACTGGGTCGGACGCGTAGCCGAGCAGTGGCTCGGAGGCGGCGACGACGAAGAAGGGGACCCAGAAAACGACGAACGCCCCCATGATGATTCCCAGCGTCTTGGTGGCGCTGTGCTCTCGCTTCATGGCGCTCCACCGGCTGCGCACCGCCGCGTCGGCCGATCGCGTCTGGAGCATCGCGATGCTGATCTTTCTCGCCTGGGCCCGAGCCATCGTGTACACCTTGGTATACGCAGCTAGCATGAGCATCATCGGGGTGACGTAGGCGCACAGCGTGTTGGTCAGCGCGAACTGCACGTTCATGAAGACAGGGCAGTTGTGCGGACAGGTGCTGCTGGCCACTATGTCCTCGATGCCCGCGATGTTCCACTCGAGCATGTATGAGAGGCCGTAGATTATAAAGCTGGTCCAGCAAAAAACGAGCATCCTGCCCACCAGTTTCTTGGTCACTCGCTGCTCGTAGTGCAGGGGGTCGCTGATGGCCACGTAGCGGTCGATGGAGATACACGCCAGATGGAGGATGGACGAGGTGGTGAGAGTGTAGTCGAACCACGTATGCATCTTGCAGAAGGTTTTTCCATAGAACCAGCACGTGTAGGCGGTGCGTGTCACCGCGTAGGGCATCACCATGACGCCCACCAAGAAGTCGGCGGTGGCCAAGGATATGGCGAAGGCGTTGGTGCGCGTCTGGAGCTGTCGGAAGTAGAGGATTGAGGTGATGGTGAGGATGTTCCCCAGGGCCGTGGTGGCGATGACGAGGGCAAAGCCCCAGATGATGACGTTTCTCTCGCTGTCGCCCAAATCCGGGGGACTGCAGTTGAAGTTGAAAAATGTCACGACGCACACAGGGGCCACCGATGTGTTGCTCGCGTTGTGAGTTTTCATGGTTTGTTGTATTTCTTTCGGAAATGCGCGATGCGAACACGAGATGGAGAGTTATCCGTCAACTCGTTCCCGCGGTGCTCATCATCTGTTGAGAAAGCACGGGGGGGGGGGGAGGGTGGGATCGTGCGATATACAGCGGGTGAATCGCCAGCCGTGTGAGTACAACAGCAGCACGGCTTAACTTCTCACTCGATATTTGTTATCGTTGGCTCGGAGCAGAAGATTAACGGCATAAGGCTCTACCACGAGACAAGTGCTAGGTACAGTACGCCCATCCACGATCATCCCATATTATTCTTGCTCCGCTCTACATATATAGTGTTCCAATAATGCGTTGGATAGGTTTAGCACAGAGTAAGGTGAGATGGATGTGGTTTGCCAAAGTAATTACCGGATCGGGGCTCCCTACAGTTCTGGCTGAAGTATGGACTGTATATCAGCATCATATCGTCTATGTGTGTATTTTATTAACCTTGTTACATGCTATTATGGTGGAGGATCATGGGTAATTCACAGGTGATACAGGATTTTTTTTTAATCTGTGTTAAAAAAAACTCATTTGTTTAGAAATGCTTCCTTGTGTTTAGTTTGTTGGCCTTCCACCACACCTCCGATTAGCGTGGACGGTGCCAAATAAGTTTAACATACAGACATCAGGATTTACGTTTATAGGAAGCTTACATGATGCCACAGCTATTTAAAGTGCACTTAAAACACCTCTCATATAAACCATTCTGATGCCCGGCTGAATTATATCAGCTGTCCCTGTGCGGCACTAGCTGTACAAGGCACGGGAATGCAAATTTAAGCACTGGCCAGTCAGTAGGGGGGATGTTGCTACGTCGGTTTTTTTTCCCCCAATAGATTTGCGAGTAAATTAATACTACCTTATATACATGCTGTGAAATGTCGACTTCGAAGTTTAATTATAGCATTGTATTGAACAGGCGGTAAGTCCTTAAGTTTGAATATGTAAGGAATGTATAGGTTAGAATCCACCGGCCGCCCTGGAAAATTCCGTGGTTGTGCATCAAACTTAAAAATGCTTCACTCAAAAGTGGACGATAAGGAACCCATGACCACGTTTGCAGGGGTAGACCATTGTGTGCCGGCGTCACGGTGCAGATTTGCCAAATTAAAGTTGACAATTATACCGTGAAGTACTTAAATTACTCAACTCTAGTCTGGGCGGCATGCTTTGTTCCCTACTGCGCAAAACCTTGCAGGACCCTCCTGACAATGAGTCATGAGGATCAATCAGGCTTTCGGGACTTGGCTTTCCGAGCGTGACAGTACGAAAACAATATATAGTTCATTACTTAACTATTGGTAAGGCAATCACCAAATCTTTCGGAGAGAGTCAGATCTCCGAACCTGGATAGTGCTTTGTATGGGAGATCACCGCGTACAAACAGGTTGCCATAGGCTGCTTCGGAGCCGCGTTGCGAGCAACAGAGTGCACTGCATACAAATCGGTTATTGTACTGCACTTCTATGCTCCTACGTTTTTTTTGCTGCACGCCTTAATCAATGCGATCTGACCAGCGTGGTGAAGTATGGACAAGATAGCCGGTATTGTGCAGGAACACCCGTGTCCAGGTGATAAAGGACTGCACATGTTCATTGTCACGCACACTAGTCGTTTCAACGTTTGACGTCTATTTGGTTTATACCTGCGTGACCGTTAGCTCACCTTTACCCGAGGCGGAGACTCGTTCGAATGACCCTCGACCCAGGTCTCCCCCTTGTGCGACGGTCTCGAAGTGTCGATACAATCTCGCCTGATTAAACAAAGTCCGATCACTTCGTCTCTTCGTCTCTGTGTGCACCCCTCTCCCCGCCTCGTGGTGCTGCCGCGATGGGGACCAACCAGGTGCCCGGCCTGTGTGCTCCATGCCTTTATATTCTCGCGCGCGTGGCATCCCCCGAGCATTCGCGTACCTGAGTGCCCAAGAGGTCCACTACTCGACCAGCCAATCACCCACACACCCACCGTTCTCACCCATAGCCCTCACAGCATACCTCCCCGACATCCCTCCCTTCCTCCCTCCCTCCTCACCCATAGCCCTCACATCGACTCCACCAACCTTCCTCTTTGCCACCCACACCCACCCTCCTTCTTACCCATAGCCCACTCACCCACCGACCCACCCACCCACCCACCGACCCACCCACCGACCAACTCACTTATTTAACCCAGCCGTGCCTTTAAACCACCCAGCTACCCCTCTACCCCTCTCACCACACTATCCACGGCTCTAATCCACCTCTAACACACCTATGTATTAAACTGTTTAATCACCCGCTCACTCACCGACTCACTTATCCACTCACTCACCCTGCCGCTTGCTTATTCAATATATATAAAAAAAACTAATTCTTACGTTCAATTACCCACTAACGCACTCATTTACACATTCAATCACTCCCTCATATATTAAATCACCTATGAACCCACCTACTAGCACATTCATTCTTTCATTAATCCACCCATGAATCTATCAGTGCCTCCCCATCCACCACCACATTCAGGCTTACATGCTCACCCATCCACTTTTCCCACCGACCCCACCACATACTCATTCACTCATTCACGAGTACAAAACACAAATACCCTCCGTATAGCCTTAACAGGCTGCTGGGCCAAGTGCTATTTGTGAGCAACTATGAAGGCTGACACGGCACACGAGGGAGTGAGTGGCAAACACTACGCCGGGTCACCTTTGTCTCCCCAGCGGCGATGTTTATACACCGCACTAGGTACTCGTTTGAGGCTGAGTGGACCTAGAGGAGGCCCAGGATTGGTTCAGATAATCGTCACTGGTTTTGGCTGTGAGCGTGAATCGGGTCGCCGAATTCGTAGCGCAGCACGCTAACCGCTACACTACTACTCTGCACATTCACGAGTACACCCACTCACTCACCCATTCACTTATTTAATCACTCACTCCTTCACTCATCCACCCCCGCAACTGCTCACACACTCACTTATGCAATCACCCACCCACTCACTCGCTCACCCATCCACACATTCACCAACCCACCTTGTCACCACCAACCACTCATCCGCTCATTAGTCAACCTGGCCGCCCCTACCTCCCTCAGCGACCCCTAACCTCTCCGACTAATGCGCTGCATCCCCACGGTAGCACTCCTCCTCCCGTTAGCTCAAAGAGCTAAGCGGATTATAAGATAGGGCGCACGTCTCAGAACAAATTCGTTCGAGTAGCAGAGGGATTTGTCCCAGAAGGAATTAATTATGAATTTTTGTTTCACGGTTGATGCCCTACTCACCACGCGCCTGCTAAATTTACCGTAGGTGGTGCGGAACCCGTGAACCATGAGACGTTGCACCTATTTCATTATATACGTAAACAATATGTTTCGGTCAATGGAAAAAGGCGCAACCCTGCAAATGCGCGATGGCGATAGGGCTCTCCACTCGAGAGAGCTCTGTCGAGCCTCTCCAGAGGGAGGGGCGGGGGGGGGGGAGGTTATGTTTGGCCTACTATTCCACACTGGCCAGACATCCTTTAAGAGGCCGGAGTAACCACACTTCCTTACCCAACCACACGCGCCCTGCTGGGTGGACGGAGGCTTACCCAGGTCTGCTGCGGTGGTATAACGGTCAACACATCGCACTTACAATTGCTACATGTCACCAGTTCAATTCAATTTTCCGTCGCTGCAGTTGGGGGTCGTCCATAAATGACGTCACGCACCTGGGGGGGAGGTCAGACATTTGTGACGATGTGTGAGGTAGGGGGGGGGGTTGAGAAATGTGACGTCACATCAAAATGGGCAACTTTAAATAAATATAGACAACACGTTCTACTTAATTAAATACTTTTTATTATTAGTTCTTTCGGTAAAGTCACGTTGAAGGGAAACAATAAAATAATAAAATATATAAAACAATAAAAATTCTCACGACGTTTCGACCATAAACGTCGTGAGAATTTTCATTTTTTATATATTTTATTATGTTATTCTTTCCCTTCAACGTGACTTTACCGAAAGAACTAAGAATATGAATTACTGCAGTCACGAAAGCTTTAAATCAGAATTTAAATACTTTTTAATAAATGTTTTCTCCTCCAACATCAGAGTGCAGCGCCACATTAAGTACAAACTACAATGACAATAGTTTAAAGCGATTTTAAGCATGTTTTTTTTTGGGGGGGGGGGGCAGAGCTTTGTGACGTCATATTTGAGGGGGGGGGGGGTCTGACTTTTTGTGACGCCGTGTGACGACAGGGTGGGGGGGGGGGGGTTAAAAATCGTCCCAAATCGCGTGACGTCATTTATGGTGGGCCCCTTGATACAATGCGCCAAATGTTATTAAATTCTTACCTCTCTCTCTCTATGCTGTCCATCCAGTAGTATGCGAATCTGAATTGGGTGTACGTGACAGCGAGTGCATTGGCAGGTCGCGTGTAGTGGGGTAAATAAGTGTGGGTACTCCTGCCACAGTGTGCAGGAAGAGTATGTCGAATACTCTCGTTTGGTCATCGCAGTTGAACGGCTGAACAAGCTCGAACATCTATTTACAGTCGTCGGTATTCCACAAATCGGTTTATTATCGCTGCAGAAGCACAGACAAAGTCACGTTTTTCGCATCTACTCGAGTTTGATCTGATGTATTCGTTCGATTCACATCTGGGTACATCACGGCATTGCTTGCAAATAACTAGCACCCATCGCAAACACAATAATGATAATCATTAAATAAAGAATATCAATCTACCTCCAAGCTTGCAAGACAGTCACTACGATATCAGCAGCAGCATCACAACTCATCATTACCAAACCAGACTATTACTATTTCATCTATTTTTTATTTTACCAGGTAAAGCCCACTGAGCTATTATCTCTTTGTAAGGAGCGACCTGGCTGCAAATGATCGCTCAACGAAGTGGCGTATCATGTGGAAATATATGGTAGCAGCCAAATAATCAAAACGCATGTTTATTCTAAGTGTGTAGGGAAAAACCCGAGAACCCGTAGAAATATCCAAGCGACCACGGAGAAAACATGCAAACTCAAAATATACAGGCGTCAGGGTCGGGATCGAACCCACGATCTCCTGTATACCAGGTGAGGGAGGTAACATCGCCACCGTGGCGAGCCTAAGAATATAGACTTCAAACAACGATTCATACATGACAAGGCTATGGTAGGAATGTTACACACGATAAAAACTTTTCTCACGTGCAAATTTTATTATTTCAAAACAGTATTTAAATAACAGGGTGGGCAAAAAGTCAGGACACGTAGAGTTCTATAATTTTTTTTTAACACTGGCGTTACAAATGCATTCTTTAAGTTCATATTTTAGTTTTTTTTATCATTGTTTATATCTATCTTTTCCATCTTTTCAGATGGACATTTAATAATGGAACGAACATTGACGAAAGACTAACGAGTTAAATTCGTTTATTTTTCTGTATGTTAAATGTCCCAAATTCATTCAAAAAGAGAATTCATTAATGCATTCATGTCAATGGAAGTCATTTTCAACTTTTGTTAAAATAAATTAAATAACCCTGTCATGTAATTTGTGGAAATAACTAAAATAACCCTGTGTCATGACTTCTAATCCACCCTATATATGCTGCATTTAATTTGTTCGGTTATTTATGACCGCGCATCATAATTTGTATTATTATTCTAATTACACTGAAAAACGCGATAAGAGCAACTCGTGGATCAGAGGGCACGCACAAGGCACAGGGAGACATCATGTCGACTCCATGAGAGTCAGGCTGGCTTGGGCAGGACTTGTCACTGCAAGGGAATGACCGCCAGTAGTCGAGACTAACCACGGAGGGACACATGCAGGTGTTAGATGGATTATTGCAGTGAGATATGGGATGGGTTGTGGTGGGGGGGGGTGAGGTAGGCCTTCATCCAGCAGTAGATAGAATACAGCTGCTGCTGTTGCTATTGCTGCTGCTGATAATTATAATTACTTTTCTGACCTCTTAAAGTTGAATAGATCCGTCCCTCTGTAGCTGCCGCGCAGGATCTTGCCGCTCATGATCAGATAGAATGCACTTCGGAATGAGTTGTTGAAGGATGCAAAGAGAATGGGGTTCATCGTGGAGTTGAAGTAGGTAAACCAGTTGGCCACGTCCCACACCGTCGGGTCCATCTTGTAGCCGATCACCGGCTCCATGGCCACCACCACGATGAAGGGCAGCCACACGATAAACAGCACCACCATGATCATGCCCAGGGTCTTGGTGGCGTTGTGATCCCTCTTCATGGCGTTCCACCTGCTCTGCATGGTTAAGTCGCTTGTGTTGCTCGCCCGGACCTGGTCTCCCAGCGAGCTGATCTTCTTCGCCTGATTCCGAGCCATCATGTAAATCCTGGAGTATGCCGCCATGATGAACAGCATAGGCAGCATGTAGGCGCCCATGGAGTTGGCGAGTCCAAACGGGACGTTCATGAACACAGCGCAGTTGTCCGGGCAGCTCTTGGCGGCGACCACGCTCTCGATGCCTTTGATGTTGAGCTTCAGCATGTAGGAGACACCGTACGGGATGATGTTGCTCCAGCAGATGGTGAGCATCACCACCAGCGTCCTGCAGGTCACGCGTTGATTGTAGCGCAGCGGGTCGCTGATGGCCACATAGCGATCAATGGAGATGCACGCCAGGTTGAAGATGGAGCACGTGGTGAAGGTATAGTCGAGCCACGTGTGGATGCGGCACATCAGCTGGCCATAGAACCAGCAGCTGTAGGCTGTGCGCATCACGGAGAAGGGCATGATGAGGCAGCCCACCAGGAAATCGGCGAGGGCCAGCGAAAGGGCGAGCACGTTGGTGCGAGTCTGCAGCTGCCTGAAGTAGAGTATGGAGACGATGGTGAGGATGTTGCCCACCACCGTGATGGTGATGATGATGGTAAAAACGCAAATCAAGGCCACGCGTTCCGGCTGGGTCAGCTCGGACAGGGTGCAGTTGAGGTTGTAGAAGGAAACGTTGCAAGTCACCACTTTGTGAACCGTTTCTTGCAACATTGCAGGGGCGCCCGCCGGGTGACGTAGTTAGCAGAGCGTTGTCACGTCACGACTCGACCATCTCACCGTCAGGGACGAACATCTGCAAGGAGCAACGACGAAGCAGGCGACAGCGTTGGCGCATTTGCAGAGGTTCACGTTTCGAGGCCGCGGCCGCCCTGGTTAATACTTCAGGTGTATTGACCGTAATAAATGTAATTAAATATGTGTAGCCTGCTGTAAAGAGGCCACGAGTGGCATGGTCCAAATGTTGGCAAATTTGAAGAAGAAACATTTGCTGGAAAATTATTCAAGCTTAGCAGGACCATCCAGGAAAGAGTACTGAGATTTGTGTGTCTCTCCTGGGTAAATAATTATTAGAATAATCTTCATCCAGAAATTGATTATCGTTGTTATTTTTAAACATCGAGACCTATTGAAACTCACCTTGAGACAGACTGAAGGGCAGACAGACACTTGCAGAGGGGAGGAATGGAGAGAAGCACAAATAAGAATTAGAAAAAATGTAATAGCTTGCAGACTGACAGAGAGAGGAAATGGAAGATTTTGGTCATGCGATTTGTCTAAGCACCGTATTAGAAAGTTTTCAAATGTGGGTCTTTCCCATGGTCATTGCGTATGACTTACATTGGGAGTAAGAGGAACACATGGGAGTTAGAGATAAACAAATTGGGGTTATAGAGGAACACATTCGAGTTAGAGAGGAAAACATGGGAGTTATGGAAGAATATATGGGAGCTACGGATGAACACGTGGGCGTTATAGAGGAACACATGGGAGTTATAGAGAAACACATGGGAGTTATGGAGGAAAACATGGAAGTTATGGAGGAATCCACGTGAGTTATGGAGGGACATGGGAGTTACTGAGGAACACATGAGAAATATAGAGGAAAACACGGGAGTTTTAGAGGAAAACATGGGAATTATAGAGGAACACATGGGAGTAATGGAGGAACACGTGAAAGTTACGTAGGAACACATGGGCGTTATAGCAGAACACATGGGAGTTATAGAGGTACACATGGGAGTAATGGAAGAACAAATGGGCATGATGGAGGAACATAGGCGTTATGGAGGAAGACATTCGCATTATGGAGGAACACATGGGTGTTATGAAGGAACACATAGGAGTAATGGAGGAACACATGGGCGTTATGGAGGAATACATGGGTGTTATGAAGGAACACATAGGAGTAATGGAGGGACACATGGGAGTTATGGAGGAACACATTGGCATTATAGAGGAACAACATGGGCGTTATGGAGGAACACATGGGCGTTATGGAGGAACACATGGAAGTTATAGAGGAACACATGGGAGTTATAGAGGAACATATGGGAGTTATAGAATAGCACATGGGAGTTATGGTGGAATACATGGGATTTACGAATGAACACATGGGAGTAATAGAGGAACACATGGGTGTTATGAAGGAACACATAGGAGTAATGGAGAAACACAATGGAGTAATGGAGGAACACATGGGAGCTCTGGAGGAACACATGGGAGTAATGGAGGAACACATGGGCATTATGGAGGAACACATGGGCGTAATGGAGGAACACATGGGCGTAATGGAGGAACACATGGGCGTAATGGAGGAATACATGGGCGTTATGGAGGAACACATGGGCGTTATGGAGGAACACATGGGCGTTATGGAGGAACACATGGGCGTTATGGAGGAACACATGGACATTATGGAGGAACACATGCGCGTAACGGAGGAACACATGCGCGTAACGGAGGAACACATGCGCGTAACGGAGGAACACATGCGCGTAACGGAGGAACACATGGAAGTTATAGAGGAACCCATGGAAGTGACGAAGTCAACTCATCTGCCGAAGCTAGGTGCTAGGTGATTTGGGGAGATCTTCATCCAGCTGTGGATAAATCGTAGCTGATAACGATGGCAATGAGGCATAGACTTTACAAAATTATGCCAAGATTTCGAGCTCCTCCAAAACATGATTAAGCTTTAACATCTCTATATATTGTCTATATGTATCAGATAATGTGTCCCCCTATCGTTTTATTCTGTAATATAAATATTTATCAAGTCAAACTCTTCGCGCCGCTGTAAAGCGAGTGCTGGAAATCCAACAGTCTCATGGTCAGGCCCATTCTGTCCACAGGACAAACATTGTTGACATCCAACAAGATGGTACCTATTTTACGTGTCCGCAACGGATGATGCACTGAGTCGTACAGCGGACGTTGGAGTGGTATGGACAGCACCACGCCTGTCCGCCTTTGTGTTCCCAGTGATGTTCACATACCGTGCCAAGTAGTCCTAGGAGAGGCGCGACTGATGTTATCTGTGACTGACAATCGCAGATAACTCTTCTGCATCTCCCTTCCGATGTTCATATACACGCACCCATTCGTGCACATACACAAACAAAGACAAAGATCCCCCATATAGCCTCAACAGGCTGATGGGAAAAGTGGTGTTAGCGAGCACTTATGAAGGCTGGCACGGCACACGAGGGGGTGGTTGGCCAGGACTACGCCCGGCCGCCTTTGTCTTACTAGTGGCAATGTTTAAACACCTCACGAGGTACTCATTTGAGGCTGAGTCGACCTAGGGGAGGCCCAGGACCGGTTCTTATAATCTGCACTGGTGTTAACTATGAGCGGGAATCGAATTCGCGAAGCCAGTTTTTGCAGCGCAGCGCGCTAAGCAAAATGTATCTTCTATCTATATAAATAAAGACGTTAATTTGCATATGTCTCAAAAAAGCTCTCTACGGTACTTCCAGACAGGGTAAAGCTGACATTTGCGACACAGGTAACTTTTAGGACACAGACAACAGGAGGGAAAATCTATCTTCTAGTTCTATTGGCGAGCACCGATGAAGGCCGGAACGGCACATAAGGGGTTGGGTGGCCAACACCACGCCCGGCCGCCTTTATCTCTCGAGTGGCGATGTTTACACACCGCACCAGGTACGCATTTGAGACTGAGTCGACGAAGGGGAGGCCCAGGCACACACACACACAAACTCTTACGCACACAGATATAAATACGTCGACACGCAGGCACATATTGATATACCCACATACTTAATACGTTAATGTGAAGTACATTTTTATACTCTTTGGTTTTTTTCGGTAAAGTCACGTAGGTAAAATATCAATAAAATAAATGAAAACAACTAAATTAAATCACGACGTTTCGGGCGCAACACAAGCGTCCGTCATCAGGTGGGGACAAACACAGCGAGGGCAGTTGCTGAGATATGTCAAAGAGATGGCTGAGGAGGGTGGGTGGGGGGGGAAGAGGGCAGGGTGGGTATGGGGGCGGGGTGTGGGCTGGGGGAGTAATTCCCAAAGCTGGGGATACAGCTCGAGTCCCACAGGTGGGGGGGGAAGCGGGGGAGAGTGGAATCGGACAAAACGACTACACGATTGGAAAGCTGTATCTTAAATTTCCTAGTGATGTGCAAGGCTGGGAGTAAAAGACTGGTGATGTGGATATGAATATAAACGGTTAAGGCAGCTAGGGTTTAACTTGGTTAATAGCATCTTTCCAATGATTGCTCAATTTTAATCCATCTTCTCGGTTGAAGTTATGTCTATGTTTGTATATCTGGATGGCCTCATGGACAAACCTTTGGTGGTATTCAGACGGCTTGCAGAGCACCTTGGTCTCGAAAAAGATAATATCATGAGAACCCGCTGCGTTGAAACAATGATCAGCCACGGCCGAAAGATGTTATTAACCAAGTTAAACCCTAGCTGCCTTAACAGCTTATATTCATATCCACATTACCAGTCTTTTACTCCCAGCCTTTCATATGGGACTTCAGCTGTATCCTCAGCTTTGGGAATTGCTCCCCCAGCCCACACCCCGCCCCTATACCCACCCTGCCCTCTTCCCCCCCACCCTCCTCAGCTATATAAACCCCTGTTAGAGCCATCTCTTTGACATATCTCAGCAACTGTCTTCGCTGTGTTTGTCCCCACCTGAAAAACCAAAGGGTATGAATCCTTGCAGTCACGAAAGCTTCAAATCTAGAATTACATTTTTATACTTTGATTTATTTGCAATTGCGATACTGAGACCCCAGCCATCCATGCTGTCGACTCCGTGCCCCTGATTAAAGTGCAGGCTCAAGACCCATCATCTTATCCTCTGCCTATAACTGACTGCCCCTCTCTCCTATAATCTAACGCAGAGAGCCGCAGACTCACACAGAGGGCCAGAGATTCACACAGAGACCCATAGATTCACACAGAGACCCATAGATACACAAACAGACCGACAAATTGACGCAGAGAACTATGCCTATACAACGTCTCCCGGCACGTGAGCATTTATGACCTCATATATAAATCCGCATTGTGATCGCATTTTTTGAGGTTGACGAATGTCCTGCATCCTCACGCAAGATACGTGTATGCATTTGAGAGGACATCATTGAGTGGAGGCGGAGCGATAAAATCAGCTCGTGTGTAGAGGAGCTAAAGTGGATTGCTCCATCACCAGACATTGAGGGACAGCGGCGGCGGCTTGCGGAGGCTTTCATCCAGCAGTGGATCTTGTTCTTTTACTTTCCAAAAGGCAGAGAGAGACACGCAGGTCGTTAGAGTGAGAGAGATAACCAAGCAGGGAGACACAAATACAAAGATCCCCCGTATAGCATATTACCACTGTTGGGGCAAGTGCTACAGTGAGGGAAAACAAGTATTTGATCCCCTGCTGATTTTGTACGTTTTCCCACTGACAAACAAATGATCAGTCTATAATTTTAATGGTAGGCTTATTTGAACAGTGAGAGAGAATAACAACAAAAAATCCAGAAAAATGCATGTCAAAAATTGATTTGCATTTTAATTGAGGGGAATAAGTATTTGAACCCCTCTCAATCAGAAAGATGTCTGGCTCCCAGGTGTCTTTTATACAGGTAACGAGCTGAGATAAGGAGCACACTCTTAAAGGGAGTGCTCCTAATCTCAGCTTGTTACCTGTATAAAAGACACCTGTCCACAGAAGCAATCAATTAATCAGATTCCAAACTCTCCACCATGGCCAAAACCAAAGAGCTCTCCAAGGATGTCAGGGACAAGATTGTAGACCTACACAAGGCTGGAATGGGCTACAAGACCATTGCCAAGCAGCTTGGTGAGAAGGTGACAACATTTGGTGCGATTATTCGCAAATGTAAGAAACACAAAAGAACTGTCAATCTCCCTCGGCCTGGGGCTCCATGCAAGATCTCACCTCGTGGAGTTGCAATGATCATGAGAACGGTGAGGAATCAGCCCAGAACTACACGGGAGGATCTTGTCAATGATCTCAAGGCAGCTGGGACCATAGTCACCAATAAAACAATTGGTAACACACTACGCCGTGAAGGACTGAAATCCTGCAGCGCCCGCAAGGTCCCCCTGCTCAAGAAAGCACATATACATGCCCGTCTGAAGTTTGCCAATGAACATCTGAATGAATCAGAGGACAACTGGGTGAAAGTGTTGTGGCCAGATGAGACCAAAATGGAGCTCTTTGGCATCAACTCAACTCGCCATGTTTGGAGGAGGAGAAATGCTGCCTATGACCCCAAAAACACCATCCCCACCGTCAAACATGGAGGTGGAAACATTATGCTTTGGGGGTGTTTTTCTGCTAAGAGGACAGGACAACTTCACCGCATCAAAGGGACGATGGACGGATCAATGTACCGTCAAATCTTTGGTGAGAATCTCCTTCCCTCAGCCAGGGCATTGAAAATGGGTCGTGGATGGGTATTCCAGCATGAGAATGACCCAAAACACACGGCCAAGGCAACAAAGGAGTGGCTCAAGAAGAAGCATATTAAGGTCCTGGAGTGGCCTAGCCAGTCTCCAGACCTTAATCCCATAGAAAATCTGTGGAGGGAGCTGAAGGTTCGAGTTGCCAAACAACCGCCTCGAAACCTTAATGACTTGGAGAAGATCTGCCAAGAGGAGTGGGACAAAATCCCTCCTGAGATGTGTCAAACCTGGTGGCCAACTACAAGAAACTTCTGACCTCTGTGATTGCTAACAAGGGTTTTGCCACCAAGTACTAAGTCATGTTTTGCAGAGGTGTCAAATACTTATTTCCCTCATTAAAATGCAAATCAATATATAACATTTTTGACATGCGTTTTTCTGGAGTTTTCTGTTGTTATTCTGTCTCTCACTACTCAAATAACCCTACCATTAAAATTATAGACTGATAATTTCTTTGTCAGTGGGCAAACGAACAAAATCAGCAGGGGATCAAATACTTTTTTCCCTCACTGTATTTAGTGAGCACCGGTGAAGGTCGGTACGACACGCGAGGGGGTGGGTGGCCAGAACCACGCTCGGCCGCATTTATCTCTCGAGCGGCAATGTTTACAACATCGCACGAGAGTAGTCATTTGAGACTGAGTCGACCGAGGGGAGATAGACATAAACTGTAAGTCCACATCGAGAGGCAGACAATAAATCGAAACGCAGCCTCGCCGATCGGAGTGCATAGAGCAGGGGTCGGCTATCTTTGACCAAGATAGCTCGAGAGGCCCATCACACGCAGAGCAACTGGTACACAAACAGCAGATGACAACACACACTCTGACTTAGATACATGAAATAGGTGATAGGCGCAGTTTTAGGCCATTTAGTTCCCCCCCCCCCCTTAGTTATTCTTTGACAATACAGCCTCACTGTTGGAGATGTTGTCACCAAGACGTCCCACAGTGACCCGTTTCCTGGCATATTTAATCGATTACATTTTTTTTACCTTACGTTTTCAGATTGACGGGTTTTTTTGTTGTTGTTAAACGGCTGCCCGCTAGGGGCAGCCAAAGCGCCGCATGCGGCTCCGGAG